TTGATTTCATGTTCTTACCAGCTCACGCGCTACGGCTGGAATTTCGGATGAAACCCGATGTTGGCTACTGGTCCACTGGGAACCCCGGGTTGACCAACCCAGTTTATCCATCGGGGTGTGTCCCTTAGTGGGAATTTTGTGAAAAGGCATGGCTGTGGGTCAAAACCAATGGGATCCCATTTTCGGGTAGGTGCACCACCCACTTTAGGCTATTTTAGTGTGGATTGGGATGTTCAGTGGGGTACGGGAATTTGACCCATGGCCACATTGCTGCCTTCAACTGTTCTGAGCACTTGTCTCGATGGAGTGGCCCTGGTTCGACATGACTCTGATGTTGTTCCTTTCCCTGAGTGAGTGCAAATCTTCCGCCAGTCAGGAACATGGACGGAAGTGGATTGCATGTTTATTTTCCGAGCCCAGGCTTAACATCAGCTAACCTCCAGGCCTGCTTTACGCCCAACTTTATGCGGGTGAACCTAAGTATGTGTGCTCGTGTGTGTGTGTGTACCCTTTTCATCTTGGTTCCAAGTAGATCGAAAGGTACATTAGCATTTTAGACAAGTCGCTCCCTCTTTTGACACATGGCCCAAGTGTGTTCTATCAGATAGGCATGTTTTCTTGAGGGCCGTTGACCTGGAGTTCTGGAGGCGATTTCTGGGCCTTGCACGCTAAGCTGGGCAAGTGCTACGAGGCACAGCTACGTTCTGCCGGGCTGTGGTTCGGCCTCGGGTGGAGAGAGAGAGGGAGAGAGAAAGCAAAAGGAAAGAACGGAGGAAGGAAGAGAAAGGAAAAGAACAAATCAAAGAACAGAACATGAAATGAGAGAAAGAAAGGTAGACATAAAGATGAGAAAGAATACATCAAGGCCGAAGTAAATAAAGAAATACGTAAATAAGGACAGAAACAAACCAATAAAGACATAACAGAAGATAAAGAAAGTAATGAAGCTGCGCTGTGTGTCTTCGAGCTCGAAGAGCGAGGGCAACCCTACCCGTAGGGTATACCACCGCTGACGTGTTTTGTTGCACCCCAAGCTCCTCCTCAGCATTGCCTGCATCACCTGCACGCAGGCCGGCCCAAACACTTGGACCCCAAAACATCCCCGCCTCCCTGGCCTTGCGACGGGCTTCTGATGCCACGTTGCCTGACCTTCACAAAACACTGTAAATACATCCCCGCCAACATCCTCTGCATCCTCGCAAACTTCGCCAGCATCCCCGGCATTCCCTGCATCACCAGCATCGGGCGTTCCAGCATTCCTTACATCCCCTGCATCCCCTGCATCGCTCAAACTCTTCAAAAATGGCCCCCTGTGAGTAGGTTTTGGCGGTAGGCGGACATGGCGGGCAAGTCTGCGATCGAGTGAGCGGTTTTTCTTGCGCAAGTGCGGCCGCCGCCGCTGTGCGGAAAACATCGCGCATACCGTGTTTTTCTTCATTTTTCCGCCGGTTTCTGTGGGGCTGGGACGGGCTGCCGGGGATGCATTTTTTGGTCTGATTGGCTTTCGGTGTGAGACGCGCGCGCGCGCGCCGGACGCAAGCAGGCACACATTGGGCTGAAAAAACAACCCCGCGCCTTTTCGTTACGTAAGGGGCCGTCCCTTAACTTGTTTCGTTTCGATGGCCAAAACCATTGCAAACCGATACAGAGGAAAAAAAACCGATACCCCCAGAAGCCATGAAGACACACATCAGGTCCTAGTTGTTGTCGCAAACCAAGATTGCGGAATCATAAATTTGCAGGGCCCAAGCCGATACCCAAACCGATACCCAACCGATACCCAACTCATTGGCCGCCATGCCGAATCCAACCAGCTGCCCTGCAGCCTTCTCTGGAGCTGCCAACATGTACTTTGTGTACTACATTTGTACTGAAAAGTTGCGACTTCCGCTGTGGAGCTGCCAAAATGGACTTCGTACACCATACTACACTTGCTTGCACTGAAAAGCTGCGCTTTCGAGCCGGAGCTGCCAAAGTGTACTGCGCATACTACTGAAAAGTTGCTATTTTCCAGCTGGAGCTGCCAAAATGTACTTTGTGTACTACACTTGTACTGAAAAGTTGCGACTTTCCAGCTGGAGCTCGGAGCTGGCAGAGTGTACTTCGCATACTACACTTGTATGGAAAAGTCGCGACTTTCGAGCCAGAGCTGCCAAAACACTGCAAACCGATGCAGAGGAAAAAACGATACTGACCGATACTGAGGCATAAGGATACAAGGGTTGTCCGCGGGGTTTTTTCAACCCGCATGCGCTCAAGCTAGGGTGGGTGAGTGCATGCTGAGCGTCAGGGAGGTTGGGCAAGCAACCTTGCAGCCTCTTGTGCGTGTGGGTTCGCAGCGAGCGCGTGCTTGGGTGGTCCGGAGGCCAGGCTCTGAAACAAGGCCCCGCCTAAACATAGACAAATAGATGAACAACTTAAAGAGTTACAGAAACACAACATTCCAGCAAGAGCCATAAATCAAGAATGAGGGAGTAAAACACACGACAGTGAAACAGTGAACGCAGGCAAGAATCAATACATATGAAATAAACAAGGAATGCAAGGTCGAAAGACATAATAGCCGCAAAAAGACATGACTAGAAACTGAATAAGTGCAATTGCAAAAGAAAGACAGAAATGCAGAACGAAGGAGAAGAAAAACAACAAGACAAAGACATTCAGCAAGGACGTAGTGAAGTACAACAACTACATTTAGAAACAGGTAAAGACGGAAGCAACTACATCGAGATATCAAAAAAAGAAAGAACGGACACAACAAACACAGAACATATGAGCAGCGAACATGAATCAACTCAAGACAGAAATGCGCGAGTTGAGGGTAGAAAGAACACAAACTACAACAACTAAACAACGAAACAGAAACAAAGCGCCGCAACACACAACATACAGGTTCAAATAGTGACGTACATAAGTACATAAACATGAATGCACAAGTACACAGACCAACAATTACGCCAACCCATAAATGCACACTTACCGCAAGAAGTACAACCCCAAAGCAATGTCTGTATATATACACATGCATACAACATGACATACAATAATATACATTCATAAATACAGACACACATAAACAGAGACACAAGAACCAAAGGAAAACACAACAAGCGCATCTAACAACAACGCACACACAGACACACTCGGGATAAGCAAAGAGAGATAGCCAGAGACAGAGAGAGAGAAACAGAGAGAGAGAGAGAGAGAGACAGAGAGAGACAGAGAGGGCGAGGGCCAGAAAGAAAGAGTGAGCGAGAGAGAAGGAGAGAGAGAGAGAGAGAGAGTGAGACAGGGAGAGAGAGAGAGAGAGAGAGAGAGAGAGCGAGAGAGAGCGAGGGAGGAGGAAGTGGGATGCCTTCTTTTGGTATGCGAATTGTTCGTATATCAGATCAGACCAGAGCTTCAATTCGGCATGTTCCGCATTCGATTTGTCAGCATGTTGTTGGATTTTGCTTGCTGATGCTTGCGACTTGGGTCTGGAAGGTGGTACGCTTTGTCTTCCACTGGTTCTTTTCCTCTTTTGCTTAATCGATTCCTTTGTGCAACATGAAGAGAAGGAAAGTCAGGCGTCCTAAGGGCAATGAATTCGAGCAATGCCCTTGACACATGAATGGCGGACTCAAATCCCCATGTGAGGCTCGGTCAAAATATATGGGGGACTTACTAAACTGTCCGCTCAAATCAGGGAATCACAGGTTGTTTCATGTCAACTCGTTACACGTGCAGCGCGGGACCTGCATATTTTGACAGTGGCTCATTGTCCAAGAAAGGGTCCCGAATTCTCAGGGCTCTCCCCATATTTCCTCTTTTTGGCTTGTTTTAGACATCACCTTTCCATTGTGAGGGAGTTTCCTCTGATCATTTGGGCTCCATCGCCCTCTCGTCCCTCCTCCCAAGCCTGCGCCGATCGATTCGCCAGGCAGAAATGGCCGAGTGGATGGCTCGGGTGGAGGAGCTCGAAGGGGATGCCAAAGGCTTAGCGCTCGCTTTGCCATTCCAAAGCTCACTTCCTGAGTTCATGAATTTTTAAGCTTTTTGGGAGGACCATTTTAGTGGTAAACATAAAGTTTGATTTTTTTGGGCCATCCACTCAGCCAGTGAGAATGAGCCACAATAAACACCCGGGCAATAGAAGGCGCTGGACAAATACAGACATTACCTTATCGTTCTGCCTTTATTTGGTTTCGGACCAGTCCGCAACCCCGTTCAACATATTTAGGCCTAAATAGCGGCGGATATCCGCTTTTCAGCTTCTTTACATGGATTTGGGCAGACCCCTTTTAGTACCAGGTCTTGATTGTGACTCCGATGGAGGAAAACACGGAAAAAGTGGGAATTCCAGTTCATGGTTGTGAACATCCGGTTTTACTCTGCCCATCCAATCCTGCCCCATTCCACCCCACCAATGGCGCCCCACTGCCAACATTCGAGAGTTGGTTGATGTGTGTGTGTGTGCCACTCTTGCCACTCTCGCCCTTCCCTTCCCTTCCCTTCCCTTCCTTTCCCAAGCACTCAAATGTTTATTGTCTTAGAGCGCAAGTAGCATGAACGGCACCATCCCACCCTGTCCCGCCCCACGCAACGTTTAATGGGATACCTGCTGAAACCACGTCCCTTCAAAGCAGATAAGCAGATGGATGCCCTCTAAGCAAATCATAGTCAGCTTTCCTGGAAGGTGAGACAAGCAAAAGCCCATGAAGCAAGATTCTTTGCATGGGGATCACCTTATTTGGGGTCACAGCAACTTGCCCCGGATCCATTCAATTCCGATCTCCACCCGACAGTTGTCCCCTTTACGTTCTTGGGCTCCCTCAAAGAGAAGCCCAGACCTCCAGTTGTTTCTTTTTCCAGTTGTTTCTTTTTCCAGTTGTTTCTGTTTCCTTGTTTTGGACGGGGCATCTCTTGAAAATCAACTACCAAGAAAAGGCACTCTTATCTTCCTGTGGAGAAATGCAAAGGAAGCACTGGGCATAGCGGGAACCCGGATTAAGCATAAACCCTCATTGATCTTGAGGGGATCCGGATCATTGGAGGGGAACGCCCCGTAAGAATCTGCCAGCTTGATTTATACGCGGTCAACTTAAACACTGAACAAGGTAGTGAGTGCCACATGGCTCTGGCCGTCCGCAGTTTGCGCCTGGTTGGCGCCAGTTGCTGCGGAGTGCTCCCACAACTGCAAGACCTACTTTCTGTCCTCGCAGCCTGTCACTCTGAAACAAGCTGATTGACCTCGACCCGCTCCCCGTTGACCTGGAGTCGCATCTGTGCCGGCTTGGGGGGCCTTCCTCTCCAAGGATGCGCCCAGCCTAAGGCGGATTCAGCCCATTTAATTAACCCTTGCGCGGCTTCGTGAAGTGCCCCATTTGGATGGGTCTTAGAAAAATAGAAAAAATACGCTCTTCTTTGGGGCTTCCCTTTTAGAATCAGGCAACAGGGAACCAGCCCTTTGCCCTTGAACTCACTGTTTGCTCCTCTTGCCTTCTTGGGTGTCTTTTTTTACCTTTCAACCTAGGAACAAGTTAACTTCTTGCACGGGTCTAGTCTGCCAAACTTAACGTTGACCCCGGATTGATCACCTGGATTAAGAGGGAGGTGTTCCGCCCAAAGCGTGACTTGGATTCTCGTTTAGATTGGACGCCCCCTTTGCATCAACCATGAGTTTACAATATGGGTATGTGTCAAAAGAGGGGGATCCCAAAACTGACGGTTTTCCTCTTGGATTCCCTCTAAACCAACCCCACTCGGGTACCCTCAAAAACATACACACCCAATATGTAGAACGGTGCCAAACGGGCCATATAGTCGAAAAGGAAACAACTGGTCTCTTCACTTGGTCTATCTTGTAAAGGGTAGACTAAATTTTAAGTCTGAAATCGGATCTCAACGTATTTCCGTGAACTTTAGTGGGTCAAGGAAAGGAGATCATTTCCGTACTTTCTCCAATGGCACCCTCAGCTGGCGGCGCGGAAGCTAGGGCCGCCCATCATCTTGGGGATTCCTTGCTTTGGGTTTGCAAGTTCTACTACCTTATTATACTCTTGGTGCAAAAGAGCCCATTATTCTAATTTACCAAAGAAACACCATGTTCTTTTTTTAGATGTGTGTCAATTTGTCCAAACCCCTTTTTTTTTACCACTCAGTGTTGTCATTTGCCCAGATGTTTCTTGTCCCTTTGGTCCCCCACTCGTCCCCGCGACTCGACTCGCGACCGATCGATGAGGCGATCAGTCCTCTTCTGCCGCGAGACCCCTGGAACAGCCGTAGGGCCAAGGCGCGGCTTGCGCGCGAGCCGTTGGAACCTTGGTTTTAGGAGTGGGCTGGGAGTTTTAAGGTTGAAATGGTCGTTGGACCGATTTTTGTTTGTGTGTTGGGCTGGGAATTCGCACGTTGAAAAGGTTGTCGGACCGATGTTTTTGGTGGAGCCCCCCAACAAAATGGTTGTTGGTTTTGGGAATCCTCGCCGAAGCGATGTCCACCACGCCTGCAATGAAACTAATGCCCCATTCCTGTGATGTGCCCTACGAGAGTGCCGATGACAGGGTAGTTTCAGGTTGCTCGAGTTTAATTGCTTGCTTGCTTGTTTTCTCGCCAGCGGGCTGAACTTTTGCCCTACATTGTGGCACCGGCGGACTGGGGGAAGTACCTCAGAATGGGTTTGGAAGACTATCATCGGTTTAAACAGGGTCCCGAACGTTCATTTCCAACGTTTGAAGGAGGGTGCTGTGGTAGATTCTATTGTATGAGGATCTTGCCTTTCTCCCAAGGTCAAGCAGAGATCCCTTCATATCTTCTTGAAGCTGCAAGTGCCCTTTGTCGACATGTGCCACATGAAATGCACATGGGCGGATGCGTCACAACATTTCCGAGTACACCCCTGCAGATTAACAACCCAACAAACATCATTGTTAAAGGAATCCTTCTGGGAAATGAACCCTCTTTTGGGCTTCCTTGTGAGAACCAACAGTTTAAATGTTTAGCTTCTTCTGGCTTGGTTTAGAGGGACATCGAAGTCGAAAGGAAGCGACACACTTGAAAAAAACACGGGGGAGATTCCTATTTTGACATGTACCCAAGTGTTCCTGCACGTTCCCCACTGAACATGCCCACCTCAGAAAGACACGGCCCCTTTGTTCGCCAGGGTCACCGGGCAACTGTGTTTCTCGGGTCAGGTTGTTTGCAATTGGATGTCCTGACCACATTTCAGTTCTGCTCACATCGCCGTGTAAAGCTTGGCTTCAATTTTCCGTTAGCCAAGGTAATCCCCAAATAGACACCAAAATTAGGCTTGATTCCGACCTCAGGAAGTCTCAGGGGCGATTTGTTTGCTACAGAAGTCCCAGGAAATCATCTCATGTCCAATCCAGCGCGACGAAGCGATCTCGAGCCTGGCCAGATGAGTGGCCAGATGGGTGGCTTCCAAGCTGAGGACCATCATGAAAAAGATTCAGGCGGAACGGTTCTGGCTGGGCGCGGGGCTGGCGCGAAAACTGGGCCAACCAGCAGTTTTTGGTTTTGCCATTCCGGTTGACCAACCGCAGTGACTTGAAATACAGAGTTGGACCCAAGAGTTTAGTAGTTGTTTCCTTTGGGTTTCCCTCACCAAGCTTGGAAATGGCCGCCTCAGCATAAACACACGGCCAACTGCAGCCAGTTTATTGCAGATCCGCTTGCTAGGGATGCCAATTTTATTTCAGCTTTTGTTTGACCAACCACTGGGCTTTAGCCTCACATTTTGGGATCATTTTCGCGGTGAACAAGTTTGCACTTCTGACCAATTCGGAGCCTGCGGAATGCAGCACATCCAACTGAACCAGTACCTTCCAGCAGATTCACTAAATCCATCGGTTTGAGAGGAATCCCTGTGTTCCCCCTTGAAAAGTGGTTTTAAGCTTGACAAATTTTAGGTTGCCAGCTAGACCACGTGTGGCCCAGAAGCAGTTTGCCCCCAGGCTGCCTTGTGCTTCCCCTCCCTCGAACCCAACAGCATGTATCCAGTGCAAGTCCCAACCATGTTCATCTAAGTTCTTCAATCTGTCGATGGTGTCCGGCTTCCCTTGGCTTCCCTTGGCTTCCCTTGGCTTCCCTTGGCTTCACTTGGACAACCTCCTTTGGGTGTCCTTTGACAGGGCGCAAGTCCTGGTTTGTTGAATACGTTTTGACCAAGCCGGGAAGTGTGGTGAATGGGCAACGTGCAATGAGTAGTTTGCCCATCCGGGGATGCGCACCCACAAGAAGCTAAGGAACCTGAGGACAAGCTTGCACGATATCTTGTTCATTTGCCCTGCCAGCACCTTGCAATTGGCCCTCCGTTCCAAACAGGGTAGATATTCACAACTTGACTCCTTTGGCCATGTGGGAGTTGATCACTATTGGCGCCAAAAGGACCAACTGTCCCATGTGGTGAAAGTCAAATCTTGTTTGGTGGTTCCCGAATAGTCACCCCATGTAAAGGAGCTTTTGAACCCTGCTAAGCAATCCTCGCTGATTCAGATCTCAGCGAACACCACGAGCACCACACCCCGCCGGACCGCATCTTCACAGACAACTTACGACTGCCGTCCCCCACACCTTTCCCTTTGGAAGGTGGGGGATGGGGGGGGGGGGTTCAGGGTGCAGGGCTCCCTAGATCTCTCTCTTGCCCGACATGATCTTGAATAATTATTATGCATTAAGAACTAGAAGCAAACATAGTTTGGCTGGCAAAAGCAGAGGTAGTAGAGCTTTTTCAAACACTTGGTTACTAAGAACCTTGCATGTTGATTGTCTGGTCTGTGTTCTAACGGGACAGTGCAAAGGACCCCATTTTGGTGTTTCCCCTACCTTGAGAACAAGCCCAAAATATTGGACGTGACCCCCTTGTCGAGCCCAGAGTGGATTTCTGAGCGCTGGAAGTCCTCCATATTAATTGCCTTTCGAGTGAAGACCAACATTTCGCACAGATCTGTTTTTGCAGACTCTAAGGCTGTCGTGGCAGCTTTCAGGTGGTCGTTGGATGGATGGCAGTGCACCAAAATGACTGGGATGGAGTGTACCAAGATCAAGGGTCCCAATGCGCCATCATTGGAGAAGTGGACCTCTGAATTGGGAACTTAGACGACCGTTCTAAGGGTTCCCATTGAACCATGACACACAACTCCAGCCGAAGTGGATCTGGCCACGAGGTCTGGCCACGGCACCCTATGATTGGGTCCAACGTGGCCCTTTGCGGGGAACCTATGGGCCATTTTATTGGCTGGTTCTACTACCTTGTCTCATGCAGGTCATAGTAAGGTCCATATAAACCTGTATAGCCAGCGTGGTACAACCCAACAGTCAGCAGGCGTTGGGTGCTGCTTACATGTTGACCAGTTTTTTCTTTGGTTCTCCTAGACGGCAACTCTCCAATGTTTGTCGAAAACGGTGCTTCTTTTATGTTACAATTGGAGCAGGTAAACCGCTCTGATTGTCCCTATTCATCATAGTGGTTTCAAGCGTGACATTGCTGGGCGAACAGGAGCTCTCACGAGAGCCACCGAAGAGAGACTGATTCCTTAAACGGGCAGTCCCACCATAGAGGGGATCTCTAAACCGCCCCGCACGGATGGATAATTTTAACACCCTCGCACAAGAAGAGGATATCTGCACGATGAAAATACATGGCACAATCTTTGGCTGGTTCAATTCAAGAGTTTCAAGAAGGTGCGTAGGATGAACATAATCCTGCACCACTTGGATGAACAGCTATGGATACTGGGAAAAAACCACCTAGCTGGTGCAGGAATTTGTCCACCCACAATAGTCGTGCGGAGCCTGGCGAGTGTCAGATTCATCAGCTCGACGTCCCTTATCATGTTAGGATCTCACATGGCTGTCACCATGTGGAAGTATGATCTACAGCAGCTTGCTTGGGGTTGCAATTTTGTGTCCTAAGCTATGTCCCAAAAGTTGCAAGCCGCTTCCAGTTCGATTTGATGCGACCCCTTTCGCTTGAACACATGGGGCGGGTGTTTCTGGTTGGCCAGGAGCAGTGAAGCCGCGCCTTGACCAAAATGATGGGATATGACGGACTTTACCACTCACCCCGGACTCACCCCCTTGACGTAATTGCTTCTCCATGAGCTTGGCGGAGGTTCCGGGCATCTGTGATGTCGCGATTGGGCGTGTCTTGTTCGTTGCATGCCCTGAGCAAGTCCTTGCACCTGGCTTCCCGATCTTCGGTTTGCGGAACAGGCAGGCACCAAAAAGGTGGCAGTCGCCCTAGTTTTGTGCGTGGCTGAAGGCATGCGTTCGGTTTGTGCAAGTCGCCGAGGGCTTGCTTGCCACTTGATCTTTATGCTTGGGACCAAGTCATTGTCCAGTTGCTTTTAGATCCTTGCCGCAGACTCAGATCGATTGGAGCTACGTTGATATCAAGAAGTCTCGGCTTTCATGGAGTGGAAAACGAAGGGGCACCGAGTTGCGTTGTCCGGCACCAATCCCCTTTTTTGGGCTTCCTTTTTTTGCCGTCACTTGGAATATGACGGTGGCTCCAGGAGAGGAGGTCCCATGTGGGGAAGGGTTTGCCAGTTGTGAGCCAAGGGAACCTAAGGGACAAGCAAGACCATTGCACATGCATATCAGCTTTCTAGGTGTCGTTTTCAGAGTGAAACAGCTGCGACGTATTCTTGCTTGCGGGTTAACACGGATTGGAGCCAATTCCATCATCAATTAGACAAGGAATCTTGGCCAATTTCATCTCGAGAAACCACGTTTTGGCATTTATTGAATTCGTGGAAGGGATTTCTACCAATGGGATGAGCCACAAACTGGGCCTTTGGTTTACCTTCAGAACAACCCCCTAAAAAACTGGCACCCTTCAAAAACGCGCACCTCAACGGGGTTTCTGGCCACCTCACCTTCGAGCTTTGACGCGCCAGTCGGGAGCCTGAGGCAGCGTCTTTTTCACTCCCCTCACGCTCGCGCGCTGACCGGTCAAGGCGCCTGCACTGACACCCAGACAAGGGCAGGTTACCACAATCCGTTTGGTTCCACTGGAGTGAGCATGTTGAAGGATTCTCAGTTCACTTTTGGGGGGTTCCCTTCAAACCACCCTTGAGAGGATAATTTTGAGGATGTCACCTAAATAGTTCGAGGGAGTCCTCGTAGTGAAGTCATGGACGGGAATCCGCAGTACAAGGATGGGCTTCCAAAATCATAAGAATAACTTGTAGGCAAGGCAGGGTCTGGCTGAAAACGCTTTTCTTGAAGCCCTCAAGGTGGGTCCAAAGTCACCTTACCTCTGGTTTGTGGTTTGGTTTGGTGGTTTGGATGTTGGGGGGGTGCCTTCCCGATTTGGCTTCAAAAGGAAGTAATCCCCAAACCACCAATCCAGACCCCCCAACTAAGGGTAGCCTGACAATACCTTTTGCCTGAGAAGCAAGAAGAGTATGCTCGTTCGGCCAGCCTCATTGGGCCTGGTGATGTCCATGGTGCTGGTTGGCATTTCGTGGACTCCCACAAACATGGCTTCGTACGCCGACCCTTTGGGACCATTTTTTGGAGAGACCCTTTTTGGACTATTTTCTCTTAACGAAGCCTGTGCGCTGTGCGTGGAAGATATAGTTGCGGTACCCTTTATGTTCGACAGATTCCTTGTGGCAGATGGATCCTCAGGATGTCTTAAAATAGGGGATGGGAAACCACGAGTTATTCCAACTAATTCCCTGAGAGTTCCCATGGTGACTCATTTCGTGAAAGCCGATGTCTAGATTTCGCCTTTCCATCCACAGCATCATGGTTGTCGTGCTTTTTGGACGAATGTGCTAAACCGGGGGAACCCGTTGAATATGTGTAGTTAGACGGGAACTCATCTTTAGACAGGACCGGAAGCTTAGGTTTCGGACCTGCTGACCATGTTGAACCCGTGGTTTCATTCACAGCAGGAAGTCTTGAGACCATAGGTGTCCTGTTTAGGTGATTTTGGTTAGAAATAGATGGGTTCCACTGGCTTAGGTGGGTTTTATTCCATTGACCACCATCGATTTTCCCAAAAACGGTTTAAATTCTGCCCATTTGAAACATGGTTTTTTCCACAAAAATAAAGAAATGGACACCACCATTTACAAGTTGCAATGTTCAGGTGTTTTTCATGCAAGGATCCCTGGGTATGGGTCAAAAGTTAAACCACCAAGGATATGGACCGCAGGGTTGCAGTCCATGGAACCCATTTACCAGGGCAACCCATTTTGGGTACCTTTTTTGACCCACACGAACCTCTGGGTTTTTGAGGGTTTAAGGGAAGCCCACTGGTTTTTCATGCAAGGATCCCTGTTTTGTCCACTTTAGGCGGGTTGTATTGCATGGACCACCATCGATTTTCCCAAAAAGGACACGACATTCTATGTTTGGGGCGTGAAATTTTGGGCCGCCTGGTCCCTTCCAGGCTCCGCGTTGGCACTGGCCACCGCCAGCCGCCGGACTCAGGGGACCAGCTTCAGCGGGGGGGGGGGGGGGTGAAGAGTGTTTTGTTTTTGGGGTAGAGTAAGTATGACGCAGAGTCAAACAATATAATCAGTTACTTTCTGCGTGGTTCTGATGTGAGCCAAGTAAACGCTGGGTTCAATGTTGGTGGATATAGATGGCACCAGACTTCTTTGGTAAAGCTTGAGCAAATGCCAAAATGGAGGGGAAGTGTGCCATCTACTTTTACCCAGTAAGCCTGAAGAGCTCGCTTCGGACCGGCTCCGAGCCGGATAAACCTGATTTTGAGAACTGAAGACCGGGATTAGGTGAAGCCTAGCGGTTGGCACTAACTTGTCTCCAAAAGTCCAAACCGTGCTGCGAGCCGAACGGGGTCCAAAACGCAAGGATGGAAGACGAACCCTGCTTCTTCTGGATTCGCCGGTTTGGGGATGTTTTGCCAGACCGAGGATTTTCTGGGGCTCACGTTTTGCCCTTAAGGCGCACAAATGAAGAGCATCGCATCCTGAGTTGCCCAGGACTCCAGTGGCATTGAGTTACATGTTGGCCATGTTGGAGGTCACGGTGACCTGATTTGAATCAGTTGATTTGGGGATGTGCGTTGGGAACGTTATGTAGCTCTTCGTTCCAGTTTCATATTTGAAAACAGAGCCCCAAAGGAAACCAACCATGGGGGTCACTGTTTCGAGAACCCCATACGGTTTCCTTTTTGAACTAGACCAAGAACCTCTTTGTGTTCGGGACGCCTAGTGATGCGCCGCATCTCAAAATGGAACCTTTTGAAGTGGTCAATGTCAGGCAGGGGATGGTCAAGATTAGGACCGGACTCATCGATCAGATGTTTGGGTGTCACAATAGGGAGACCTCCAAAATGACAGTCTCCTTTTCCACGTGCCTTGACCCCAAGAAAAGCACCCAACCAAAACAACATAATTGCAATGAAATAACATAAAATAAGAAGAAACATATTAAAGCAAATGAAGCAAACATAAACATGTCAGAAGCTTGAGCTGATACAGCGCATACCGCCCAGCCAGAGTCTTCTTGGATGTGATGCAATATTTAAGATGGGTCTCCCTGGCATGGCTGCCAGGCCAGAAATGACTGCTCCAGTCACGTTTTTGCGTCTTTTCCAGTTTTGCTGGAAGCAGCACGAGACAGCTGAGTCCGGCCGGCAACACGGGCCCGTTTTGTTGTGCGGTTCGCCGGATTTCAGAGTACTCCTAGTGAAAGGTTGATCCTTCCATTCCGAAGGCACAGACGAAGGCTGCCAATTCGTTTGTTTGTTTTTGAGGGTATCCCCTTTGGTGGGAAGGGGGGGTTCAAGGAAATGCAGGGAGCCCCATTTGGGAGCTACCCGTTTGGAGACAAACTCATGGGAAGCTTGGGATCCTGCGAGGTTGAAGACCGGCAAACAGAAGGTTCCCTTGTGAAAGCCTGAAGTGGACATTCATGAAGGCTGGTGCTCAAAATAGCCACCCCTAACTATGGCTGTTTTCTTTTGGGGGGGTTCCTTGCAAACCCGTCAAACGGGGGGGACCCTACTTTGAGAACGGTCTTGTTGATTTGGCCCGAACCTCGCAACTCAAATCCCAACGCTCAGCTGTGCCGAGGCCAAGGATTGGGCCTGGGCAGAGGCAGGGGGCCGAGTCGGGTGCCGTTTGCAGAACCTCCGGACAGTTCGCCACCTGCAGAGTTCAGAGACATCGAGTTCTGAGGGTTCCACGTTGGTTGGAGGTCGCACGAGCCATGCCTTTGGACTCGGCGTTGGACTTGCTCCGTCCTGCAAAAGATCCGAGGTGACTTCAGGCTCTCATTACATCTGATACAACCCACACAGCCATTCTAGAGGAATCTCATTTTGGCGGGGGCATTCCACGTTGCTCCTTTGCAAGTAACGTCGGATGAGAACAAGCTTGAACAGTTCCCCAGATCCTGACCCAGTTTTGGGCTCCTTCATTGTTTTTCTCACGCAGAGGGTACCGACATGGGCGACAGATTCAAACAACGCATGGTTAGCGGGGGGGGATATATGAAGGAATTGCCTTGGAACAGGTGCGACACGCAGCCAATCAAACATGGTAGTCGCAGCATTGGCACCTTCTTGTTTCCCAAGTCTCGGAACTTGGGTCGCCTTGCTAGGGCGAATCGTTCGCGCCTTCCTAGCCTCCAAAATGGCTGTGTCTCAAAAAAACGGTACCAAAATGGAACCCTGGTAAGTGGAAACATGGACCAAAGCCTGCATAACCCCTCCTGTTTCATTTCGAGCCATACCCAAATAGTTCTCAGAGCTGCCCTGCGAAGGTTCCGTCCGAACCTTTCCTAAAGGCCGGACCTCCAGGCGAGTTCCGGAGAGTCTTCCCATAGTCTTCCTCCAGTTTTCATGGAGTCTTCCCTTAGTCTTACGGTAGTCGTCCTCCAGTGTTTCCGTAGTTTTCCTGTAGTCTTCCTGGGCTGGAAGAAATAACTTGACTTACTTCCAGTCGTCTTCCTCTAGTCTAACTTGTCTGGAATTGAGATCAATTGGATTTTGTCCGGGAAACAGGGTTCAACAAAGGCTCTGCCGACCGCGCCGTACTATGAGGGTGGTCCCGAGACCCACGTCAGAGTTTAGAATTGTTTGGATCCCGAAAGTGCGCCTCAGAGTTCGTTGGTATTTCTGAATCCACCGTTACGCTGGAGCCAGAAAGGAGTCCTTTTTCCAGACAACGGTGCTTTTGTTCGACTCTGTCCCGAATGCGTTGTGAAGCTGTGGTTTTGTAACCGGAGGTCGCAGTTTGGAGATTCGGGCGGCCACGGACATATCGCTCAAGCAGATGTCGGCAGCTGAGAACCAATCAAACCACAAGGAACCAACCCGGAGCCCCCCAATCTGGCAAACTGGTTGGAATGTTTGGAAACTACATACCCCTTTTGAGCACCTCCCCCATTCTTGGCTTCCTTCCGGAGAACTGGACGAAAACCCAAAGGAACCCACTTGGTTGAGTTTATCTTAAAACTGTGCAGGGCACGTGTGCGAAGATTTGTGCATTTTTGTCTGAAAAGTTTCTGGGGGAGAAGTAGTGGCGCGGCTTTCTACGTGATCAGTACAGATAGTGCGTAGATATTCGGAGGAGGCGTGTTTTGGTGCAGTGAAATACCAAAGCTGTTTTGTGTTCGGGGTCTAAATATGAAACAGAAGGCCAAACAATGTGTCCATTTATTTTGGTGATTTGCCAAACATGGGAAGGTGGCTGGTGGTTAAATAGAGTGCTGTTGCGGGCACATTTGGGTACGCTCAAGCCTGATGCAAGTTTGCGCAAAGAGCTCTCCGTTTGGGAGAAGCAGAGCCCTCCACTTGCTGATTTGTGGTCTAAACGTGCACGCACTCATTTGAACCTAAACCAAACACTGCCTTATGTAATTGGTTTCCACCAGAACATACCAGGGACCTAGCCTTGAGAAAAACCTTTGAAGTAACAAGTCATGGGCTTTACGGCCGAACTGGGGAGCTAAAGCCCCAAGGGCTCATCTTTGGTTTGTGCAATGCCCCCACTCCAAAAGCCCCTTCTGACAGCCATGCCTTCGCTAGGCTTGAGAAGCATGGACCTTTGAAACTGTGCGTCAAGGCGTGTGCTGCTCATCCAAAATGGATTTTCCATTGCCAGTACCCATGTTAGGGCCCATATATATATTTTACGCAGCAGAATCAAACAAGATGACTTTCTCCCGCCAGCATGTCAGGTCCGGTGCCTCCTGTTTGTGGGAGAATGGGTAGTTGACATATTACTAAAAGAGAGGGGAAGTGGTTCCCCAGAAATGTTGGTGTACAGCGTTCAAGGAGCTATTCTGTAGATACAATGTTGCAGATATTCTCAAGTCGTGAGTTCTTGAACTTCATTTTTCCGGAAGACCATTGCAGTGGCAAACACAAAGTTCGATTTTGACCCACTCCGAAAGTGAGTATAACTTTAAAGATGGTTGTTCAACTCGGGCACGCCAATGCCTTTCATTTCACGGCCGGATTGAGGCCGTGGCCAGATGAAGGTCCGGAGCGCTGGTGCCTCAGGCCCTTCCTGAAGGCTTTTTTTTTAATGGTGGATGCCCGGAATGGCACAAGTAAACCCCGCAAAGCCTTGGAGCACTGTTGCGGCCCAAATTGCTCACCTACTCGCCCTGTCTTGGCCGTCCACCCATATTTTGGCTTCGCGGAGATGATCTTTGACCCGAAGCAGGTTCTAAACACATTGCTCTGCTGTTTGCCCACCCTGGCGAAACGTTGACCTTTTGTGGGGTTCACCCCTACCCAATTGATTGGCCAGCTAGATAAAAGGCCATCCGGGCAATTGAGCAGCGTTCGAGGAAAAGGCGTTTGGGCCCCCCTTGCCCCCAGAAAGGGTTTGTTCAGAAGGGGCCTGAGAACCCCTTCCAGGGGACCCCCGAACCTTTCCTGGCGACCCTGTCCTTTTGATATCCTCCCTATCCATGCATATGCTAAGCCTTCGTTCGCCTCAGAGACGAAGCGGGAGGCGAACTATCCTCGGCCGACGCCTGCAAGAAAGGCGGCCAAACATGTGGAAGGCTTATGCTCGTGGATCGCTTCGATACCAACGGAACCTGATTCCAAGGGATCAAGTAGTCGTGGGAATGCCACATGTTGGTACTATAGAAGGGTGTGTTTCCACATCGGAAAGTTTGGTGCCCAAAGGCAACGCCCATTTGCCGGGACAAATAGCACCAGGAATTGTCTTTGAACGGGAAATAGGACTTTGTCAGCCCGGTTGCGTATGGTCGCCAGGCCTGACTAAAGAGTCCTGATCTTTTGTTTCTCTATCCTGGCTGCTCTTTCAATCAGTTGTACTCTGGGCAAACTGCAAAATGCTACAAGCCAGAAATGAGGAGAAGCATCAAGCAGGGGACCTTCATCTGGCGAACGTTTTTTTTGTTTCCTTATTGACGAGATTCAGAGAGAGAGAGAGAGAGAAAGAGAGAAAGAGAGAGAGAGAGAGTTTTCGAATCCCCTTGGCAGTGATAAAGCAATCATGAGCATGAACCACTTTCATATCACAGACAAGGTCATTTTCCACCATCCTTGAGGCGAAAGGCCCGAACTGGGGCCAGTAGTTTGACTGTTTCTGGGTTATCAAAGTCAGAAACAGGGGTTGTTTCCCTTCAGCCTACCACTTTAGGGATGACTTTGACAATGGCAAAATCACGGGCCCAGTTTTGGTCTTCTCCAAGACTATGCTTATATTTGTTGGGGTAGACGAAACAAATGAGACCTAGTCTGCAGAAATACATCATTTTTGGATTGACTCAGGCCAAGAAAACCGGGGGTTCTCTTCCATCCGAGGTCAAGACAGGCCGCCGGAGCGCCTTCCCCGCCCCAGCTCTATGAGTTCCGTGGGCGCTGGGCCCTTCCCCGAGGACAAGTACGCGGAAGACCGGAGCCCCGCCCGCAAGCGAAGTCGGTGCCTGAGTTCCTGGACCTCAGATCATATATATATATATATATTATATATATTATATATATATATATTTTGGGGAAGACCACTTGAGTGGAAAACAAAAGCCGTTTGGACTTGTCTTGGCCATCTCAGGAAGTGAGAAAGTGAGAAGGCCCTTGTAGACCTTTGTGACTTGTTTTGGTAGAGGCGAGAGTCCCCAGCACGTTGGGGAAGAAAATGGACTAACATTGGAGGCGTGTGTGGCGGGGGGGGGAGGGAAGGAGGATAAACGCAGTTTTGCACAATGATTTAGGGCCACAGAGCCATTGGATTTGGTTTTCGAAATGGGGTGAGACTCTTCTGACACAAAGGACCCCCTTTGTGTGACCCCTGAAAAGGGAAGATCATGGCACTGGGGTCGAAACAGATAAGCATGTAACTGGAAGAAAAGAAAAGGAATTCAGAGATCCGGAAACGACATGCAACTTGGATGGCGCCCTGTAGCTAATGACTAAGCCTTTTGCGCTTGAACCGCATCCTTGACCCCTTTGTTTGACACTCATTGTGACGGCTGCGGCTTTGTGCGCCGCACGACACAAGCCCCAGCAAGCTGGAAGGGTGTCCCCAGCATGTGCTTTGGAAATCTGTGTGTGTGTGTGTTGGTGTGTGTGTGTGTGTGTGTGTGTGTTTTTGTTTTTGTTTTTGTTTTTGTGTTTGTGTTTGTGTTTGTGTTTGTGTTTGTGTTTGTGTGTGTGTGCGCGCGTGCGTGCGTGTGTGTGTGTGTGTGTTGTGTGTTGTGTGTTGTGTGTTGTGTGTTGTGTGTTGTGTGTTGTGTGTTGTGTGTGTGTGTGGGTGTGGGTGTGTGTGTGTGTTTCCCAACCCATTGTGTCGAAAGCGTGGAACGCAAGGGAAGCATGGGCTGACAAGTGCTGACATACTTTTGTATTGAATGTTATCAACACGAGGACTTCTTCCAGATCCGAAAGAGGGGTCTGCATGTTTCCCGAAAGCATAGCGAAGGGTGTAACGTCGCCACTGAGAGATTCCAAAGAGAGATATGACCAAGAGATCGCCCAAGAGATTGCGCAGAGGAATGTCAAGGAGTGTGAGTCAACGCGAGACGTCAAGGAGACATGTCACGGAGAGATTGCTCAGGGTGATTGCTCACAGTGATTGCGCGTGAGAGTTTGGGGCAATTTTTGCACCTGAAGACTTGTGCCAAAAGACTCGCGTGTGCAACTGAATCCGAAGACATGCGCCAGAAAACTGGCGGGCGCAACTTAACATTGGTCTTTGAGGGCGGCGCGGCAGGACCAAACGCAGTCTTTGAAACTTCGACCCTGTTGAGGCGGCATGTCGACCTTCAAAAACTGAGGGCCACGCCTCGCTTTGTGGGCATGGGGGCAGGTCGGCCTTCAAGTGTTTGAAGACCTTTAAGTTAGCTTTTGCGGTCCCCGCGCAGCCTTTTGCAGGGATCGACCTTCAAAACCTGAAGATGCGTGCCACCATTTTCAGTCCGCGCGCAACTCTTTGCGGTAGTGGGCTGGTCAACCTTCAACTTCACAACTTTTTAGCGTGTGCGCGCAACCCTTTGCGGGCATCGGGCGGGTTGCGCCTTTTTTGCTCGACCTTGAACAACTCAGGCTACTGTTGCGGCTCTTGCGCGTGCAGAGAAGCTAAACTTGCGTTGAGAAAGAAAATGCGCGAGCTTACGCAGAGAAGCTTGCATCGAGAGCCCGCGCATCCAACTTGCATAGAGAAGCTTACTTGTGCAGACTTGCGCAGATAGCCTGGAATGTACCCCAGAAATATGTCCCGGTTCCGGGGAGCGTACCCCGATCGGCAGACTGGGATGTAGAAGTGGGTCGCAATCAAAGCCGAAGAAATCAAGGTTAGTATGGGGCAGTGCCAATCATTAGGCGTGGACATCCGCCAACATGATTCTTTGCAAGATTTTGGGGGAGACCCCTTTAGTACCAGGTTTTGCTATTTGCCATTTGGCAGGTGGTTTTACAACCTGGTTCGGCCCTGTTAGAGAAACCACGTGGGTACCTCCGAAAGTGTGGGACCTCTTTTTGGTTTTAATTGAGTCTTCGGTTGATGTTTCTGTGTTTCCTCACCCCAGCCACTTGTACTAGAAACCGCGGGCTTCAATACGTGTGCGTACGAAATGCGGGGAAACAAAGAACTGCATGACTCCTTTTGGTTTTCCTTGGAACTAAGGTCAAAAGGCTTGCCTCAGAAACACACCCATATGGGTGTTAATTTGAATGGGGGACCCGTTGGTCGACATCATATCGATGGGGATTCAAGTCTTTTCAAGTCGTTCCCAATTAAAACTCATAGGCATATGACAGGTTACGCATTTGTTTTTGTCCGCCTTCAAGCATGCTTGTTTTGTAAAGATTTTGTTGAGCTCTTGGCGTCGCTTTGCGAGATTTTAGCTCCTGCCCAGCTTGCTAGTCCGAGGTATGCGCTGGTTTTCCCAGGTTGAACATAGATTCACGAGAGCAAGCATACATTTATCGAGAGCTTCCTAGATTTGATTCCTGTGCGCATGGTAGACATGTTGTTTTTTCTTCGATTCTCGGGCAGATGGACACCTGGGCCATGGTGAAGACCCCCTTTTGCGGTTAGGATGGTCAAGCTGCCTGGGGATCGTGAACAGCCATGAGGATTCCCATTCAGGGACTCATGAACCAGAGAGGTTGACCACGGCCACATGCCATGTGTCATGTAAATTTTGGGCAATTTCCTTCAGGAAGACCGCTATGCAGAACATGGTGAAGATGGAGAAAGTCGTCTCAAAGAAGAACTTGGCACTGGCAACTGTACCTCGATCTCCCATTCGTATCTCCCGCGTTTTGTTCCTTTCTGATGCGTCTCTATATACGTATATATATATATATATTATATATACTATTTTTTTTCTGTGCCTGTGTGCGTGTGTTTGTGTATGAAAACATGTTGACACGTTGACTCAATCTGTCGTGGCACAGTCAGGCGGTAGCAACAGTTGTTTGGGCCAAGCAGCTGCTAGAGCGCAGGCTTTTTATGGGTGTGTGAGTGCGGTGCATGTGTACATGCGTTGTGCATGCATGCATTGAGTAGGTGGGTGTATGAGCACAGCAAGCGTGGGAATGTATATGTGTGTTTGTTTGTGTGTATGTTTGTTTGTGTGCTTGCTGGCCTACATGAATGCATGCCGGAGTGTTTCTGTATGTGCTTGTGTGGAGGCGCATGTGTATGTGTGTGTGAGTGTGTTGTGTGCACGTGTGTTTGTGTATGTGTTTTTGCGTGTTCCTGATTCCATTTAGCGCTTGCTTGCTTGCTTGCTTGCTTGCTTGCTTGCTTGCTTGCTTGCTTGCTTGCTTGCTTGCTTGCTTGCTTGCTTGCTTGCTTGCTTGCTTGCTTGCTTGCTTGCTTGCTTGCTTGCTTGCTTGCTTCCTTGCTTGCTTGCTTCCTTGCTTCCTTGCTTCCTTGCTTCCTTGCTTCCTTGCTTCCTTGCTTCCTTGCTTCCTTGCTTCCTTGCTTCCTTGCTTCCTTGCTTGACTGCCTGCCTGCTTGCCTGCCTGCTTGCTTGATTGCTTGCTTGATTGCTTGCTTGCTTGCTTGCTTGCTTGCTTGCTTGCTTGCTTGCTTACCTTCTTTCTCATTTGTTTGATTGTTCGTGTGGTTGTATATGGCTGTGCCTACCAGCTTGCAGGCACGTGCGTGCATGTGGCACCGCATGCGTGCGTGCGAGCGTGCAGTGCATGCTTGCGCGCCCGCATTTCCATGCACAAGTTTGGTTGGCTCCGTTTTATCATGATGAACCTTCTCCGCCCCAGAGCAAAGACTGAAAGTATGGACCCTGCTCGTGGCAAATCTTGTTCACGACCACCAGAAACGACCTTTTGCCAAGTCATGCTGTTCCTTTTGGTCCAGACGCGAAGCTGCGAGCGTCAGGCTGAAAGTCGCACGAGTTCCATGACGGACCATCTGGGCAGCGACACTGGTTGCAAGTGGGAGCATCTCGTCGGCACGGTGCGATGCAACTGCCAGTTCAATCGATTGAAACACCAGTTCTTTAGAACCTCTTTCTGGTTCCCCGCTGTAGAGGGCGGCCAGGGTCTGGGGTCTGATTGTTCAAACGCTTCTGAACCCTGCAGTTGGGGTATGATGCTCTATTGAACATGGACCCTTTGGCCATCGTTTACGAGTTTGCAGAGTTTGGAAGGTTCTAAGCAGTTGGGGTCGGCTGCGGGAGCTTTGGCTCCGCAACACTACAGTGCGAAAGACGGGGCCATTCCCTTCATGCCAGTCAGAATTTATTTGTACCTCGTAGCAGCTTCTGTACCTTGCCTTGGGTGGCCCAGAGGTTTTGTTGTCCTTTTTGGTTTAGCTTCGCTTTTTGCAGGGGGCCACAGTACCCCGCGCCTGGAGTAAACAGGTCAAGCGCTTACCTAGGGAGGTTCCGGCGTCTCAACCCAGTTCAACCACAAGGCTTCTGTTGGTTTGCCTTTGAAGCGGCTCGCGTTTGGTTGTTGAAACAAGGCTCCGAGCAACCCACCGAAGCGGCACCCCGAGACGCCCAGGCCCCGCGCGTGCTTCAAGGCCCGCCAGAGCAGCAAGCGCCGCTTGTCTGGCCTCGCCGACACGCGGAAGAACTCGGGGCTGGACATGGATCAGGCGGAGAGTCGCTGGCAGGTCTATCGAGCATGGGCGGCTTGCTATTGGCCCTTGTTTTTCGTGAGACCTACTCTAGCTCGCATTCATGAATGCATTCGAGGACTAAGTTTAGATAGATACTATTCGTTTGAAGTGCTGCATTTCTGATTTGCAATGCAAAACAGCGCGCCCAACTCCGGCTGTGTTGAGACCATTTTGGGTTGTCTTGACGCTGGTGATGCCTGTGCTGGCTAGCGACGCTTGCGATGCGGGCAGTGCTGCTGGTGATGCTGGCTCGTTTACACCATCAACCCCAGCGTCCCCCCCTCTCAGCAATTGCACACTGGGCTGGCACAAACAGCGGGCGGAAGATTTCCCACCTTGTTTCTGGCCGTCAAAGCAGGGGCAGGGAAGAAAGATGGAATTTCCCCTACCATGTTGCTGGCCCCTGCCGGTCCATTTTGCACAGGGAGTGCTGGCTTGCGAGTCGTAGTCCTGGCACCAGCAAGGATAGGGAAGCAGGATGAAGTTTCGCTCGGCGTTTTTGCCCGTGCCACCCCTTGGCCCTGGCATCGCGTTTCAAGTTTTGTTTGTTTGAGCAAGCATCAAGTTTGTGACAAGTGCACCTTCTGTGCGGTGCAAAACTGTAAGTTCATCCTGGAAGGCGAGGCTAGAAGGCGAGCTTAGGCTTCGCTTGAGTTTTACTTGTCTCAAGTTTTAGTTCTACAAATTGCATAGATGATGGTGTTTATCACAATAGTCATATCTTCGCTCCAAGAGTTATAGTAGGTGTGTGTTTCTTCCTGGCGCCAATTGCCTTCGTGTCCGCCAGTAAGAAAGATGATCATGCCTAAAATGAGGTTCAGGACTCCAGTAAAGTCGCTGACTTTGATAACGCTCTAAGTGTCCGAAGATCAGCTTTTCTTTCAGAGAGGATTTGAGCTTCCGGGAGAAACTCCCAGAAGGTCCGCCAAGGCACTTGCGTGACACATTCTGCGCTGCGAGCGCTCCGCCTAGCTCAAGAATGGTCCCCGAAGCCGCGCCGTGAAGCCAGCGTCGCGCGAAGCCTTCCGCAAGTTCTGGCTCCGCGAAGTTTGCAGCCAAGGTTCTCCGGCTGTGTAGCCCCGAACCACCAAAGAGACACTGCTCATATGGGCATGCCTTGTTGTGAAGGATCCTTTGGTCCATCATTGAGGTGGCTATTCATTCGTGTCCACCAACCACTTGTGAGGTGGTGGTTCGCTATTCAAGTTCATAACCACCTCGAGTTTGTCTTTGAACATATCTCACGTTGACCCTTCAGAGACCGATACGCTTACACAAAAGCAATCAAGGTATTGTGAGCCCAGGGCTGCTGGGCTACCTTGCCTCCAATTCAAGAGTGGCACATAGCCATGTCAAGCACAGGGGAACCATAGCCCATGTCCCGTTCTTGGGGCCGTGTCACGCATTTGTTGGTTTCTTGCTTTGGCAAAGGAACACTCACCTGAAAAAGGAACACGTTGGGGTGCCGTGCTGGGCAATCCAGCCAGATTCAATCAATCTGATGTTCACCTCCCCTTCCAGTAAATTACCAATGAAGGCCTTGGCAATACTGCCTTTTTTGCTCAAACATGGCGGGTTGGGCTGGGTTCATTATCCTGACAGAATTGGTGGTTTCATGGGAAACGCTCCGGCAAAGCAAGTTGAAAAACATGTCCAAAAGGACCCCTTCCCAACACCCTTGGAAGGCACCTGGACGAGCAAACTCCCGCATCAGCAGGGCTTCTTAACACGTTAAAATATACATGTTGGCGAATTACCACCTCGCCTCCGGGCCAAAAGGCAACCTCCGATTTTGAAGGTAGCGTGGTGGATAGAACTCCTGGCAACGGCTCCACGTGATCAGGGCGACAAGGAGAGCACGCTGGACTGGCGTGGCAGGCGAGACTTTTTTTTGGGTTGCGGAAGGGTCGAACATGGCGCCGAAAGGTTGCTTCGCTGCTTTGGTAGACATTTGGCGTCTTTGCTTGCTTTTGTTTGCTTCCCCGCTGATTTCTTGTGCATCTTTTCCGATCCATGCAGCAAGAGTTAAGTAGATTGTCCACAAAATGGGCGTGTTCCCAGTCAGTTCCGTGTCCATTTCCATTTCCTTTTTTGGAAAGTTGACAGGTTCCGCAACCACAGGGCTCCCGCATTTCCCTTCGTGGCGGCTTCAATTATCACCTTTTTGGCACTCTGAACCGCGAAAACGTACCCCCATGAGAAATTTAAAGTTTTCAGGGTTACTGGAAAACTTCAGGGTTACGCCAACCCTATGCTGGGCCCACCAACACTGGTTTAGGGTTTGTGCTGGGCCCCACCAACACTGTTCTAGAGGCCAACCAAAACCCTAAAGCAGCGTTGGTGGGCCCAACATGTTAGTGAGGCCAGCAAAAAACCTAAAAAAATGCTGGCGGGGCCCACATAAATCCTAAAAGGTGTCGGTGGCGGCAACAAAAACCCGAAGAAGTGTAGGTGGGGCCAACATAAACCCTAAACACAACATAACCCTGAAAGGTGTTTGGGGGCCAACATAAACCCTTAAAAGCGATTGTGGGCCCAACATAAACCCTAAAATGTCCAGACACATTTTTGTTTTTTTGCTGGCCCGTTTTAGGTTTTATGTTGTGTTTAGGGTTTATGCTGGACTCCAGACACCTTCTAGTTTGCGGGAGCGGCCGGGGACTTCGGGGGTCGGGTAAACCGCAGGGTCCTGGCGAACATGTTTGAACATCCATGGTTTCAACAGCCTGCTTTTGGCCCTCTTTTCAGAGGTACATTCAGGTAGCTTGAACTCATTTTGCCAAACCCTGTTGTGACCAGAAGGTCCTTGTGGATGGATGCCCGAATCCCAACGTTAGGGCACGATTCAAATATGTTCATGTTGAAAGAGACCCATGCCTTGAGCTGCCAACCCACTAGGGACCACAAAGCCGGCACTAGCGGATTTAGGATTGAGTGTGAACAGCTCAGGCAATCACCAACCAAAAGACTGCGAAAAGCACATTTCAAAAGCTAGGGCTCCAGTCTGAAGAAACAAAACGCTTCAAGCCGTGGTAGGTTGGGATCCTATCGACCAGGGTTCGCAAAACTACTCCGTTTTTGGACCCTTTTATTAGAGGGCCAACATGACGACCCGAAAAGGCTAAGCAAATCTTTGATCGGATTTATGTCCACCAACCATTTGCCGGGGTCTTCGCCGATACATTTCAGAGCCGTATAACTTTACGAGCATGGTTCCCGCATGGTGGTTGCAATGTGTCTTATGTGGTGGTTGCACTGTGTTTTGTTTGCCTCACTGAAATCATGAGTGCTGGCGCCCAACTGCGAGACCCAAGAACCAGCCTTCAGTTCAAGTGGCATGATTTTTCAGGACTTGACCCAGAGTGCAAAGGGACCAAGTGAAAACATGTTGTTGAAAACATGTTGTCCACATAGAAATGGGCAGTATTCATGGGAAACTTGACCTCCTACCCAGCTGCTCCGAGCCTCTAAATGATTGGCAAAACAGAGGTTTCTGTGGTTGCTCGCGGTTTTCCGTGCGTGGTTTCCTGCGGTTTGCCCTCAGGTCCCCTTTGTTGCCGTACCCTGTGCCGATCGGGTCTTTGGAGCCCACGCCGAGCTATTCAGATTGGCGTTGTGTGTTGGGGGCTTCACCCCATCCAGAGTGACAGGCTGGTGATGACACCGGGTGGTAAACGACGAGCCTTTTGGGAGGCTCTACGCATGATCTGCGCCCTGGCAAGTTCTGCGCCCTGGAGCCCCGGAAATGTGTGTTGCGACGCATGTTCTTCTTCGGAGCCACTATGTCAAACCGGAATAGCTTTTCTCAGGTCCCTTTGCCATTTTGCCTTTAAGGATCAAACGTAGCTTCCGTTTGGAGCTGTAGCAGACGGTGCGCCCGAGTTGGGGATTCCGACTGGTGCTGCGCCCCATTTGGTTGCCGATATTTTGAGGGCCACTTGAATCTCGGCGCAGGTTGGATAAAGCAAAGGGGGCACTTTCCCCGTGCTGGTTTTATCACCCCCCATACGTACCAACGGAAAGGTAATCAAGCCATTTATGTGCACCATGTATAGTCGGGCGTTCCATCAACATGATGGCTTTCTGTTCGATTACCCTTCAAAACCAACCCCAAGCAATCGATTACCCTCAAAGCGATATCCCTCAAGTAACGAGGAGGATCAAACCATGGGAAAAGGACCCCCTCAAGTAACGATGATCGAAGGAGGATGATCAATCCATGGGGAAAAGACCCCCTCAAGCAACGATGCTCAAACCAAACCATGAGGCTGGGTGAATTATAACGACCTCACACGACCTCACCCCAAATGGTGATTTATGCGGGGAATAGCCCCCCAACCACCGAAAGTTTCAGGTTGGTGAAATATTACAATTCACCCAGATGAGGCTGTGTCTACTTCCCAGGTGTCATCATCGACATCCTGGTGATTCCTTTGCGCTTCTTCGAGTTGCCCAAGAACGACGCTGTAGCTCCGCTCAGCTTCAGCGCTCTCGCCTTCTGGACCTTGGCCCCTTGGTAGGAGATTCAGATCATATTCCGCAGGAGCTATAGTAGAGATACATGTGATATATACTATAATATGTATATAATATATATATATATATATATATATATAGAACATACTAGCAGGGGGAAGTGATTGAACATGTATAGAATATCTGACACATGTATGGTTTATGTATATTGCATATGTGCTTTGTGCCCCAAAAATAGAAGACATCCAGCCAGGAATAAGCTGGACGTGAATGGTGCCAGTCCGTCCAAATAGTGGCAATGGAAAGTATAGGTGAGTAGCGATCAAGCATACCAGGAAGAGACTTAGTCTTGGGGTGCCAAAATGGGATCCCATGGAGGGAATCGGCGAGCGGAAGCTGGCGAAATACCCAGCAGCAGCGAAACCCCGGCGCACTCTCCCTGACTGCAAACCACCCCAGAGCTTTTTTGGACAAAGACCCCATATCTTTCAACTGTTTGGATAAAATCAGCAAACCGAATCGTTATTATTCTGCAATACATTTGGCTCAAACAGATCGCATGTTTATCGAACCGTCTCGTCAAACGAAAACGGTTTCTTCGCTATCTGCCGCAGGCCTGCGAGTTCCTGGAGAATATAAATGCGGGTTGTGCAATATCTTCTATGTGAGTCACATTATGTGAGTGGCACTGGCAATGTCTTGGCCTCGCCCGGCTTGCGTTGTCAACAGTATCATCTCTCTTTTTTTGAGCCGTTCGAGCGTACTGCGGGTGTTTGAGCCAAGCGTGCGGTTGCCACAACTTGCTCCGACTAGGAGGTTTGCAAATGGATTACCGCGCGCGTGCAAACAAATAGAAGATTACACAGCAGCAGTGCTTGTTGACATACGCTCGGTGTCCACACCGTTTTGCTTCAAAAGAAGATACTTGCCATTTCCCAGCCCCAAACACGCCTAAGAGCTATTCTCGCAAATGCGAACATTCTTGAAGCGGCAATCTTCCAAGACTTCGTGAGATATGCATATGTATGTATGTATGTAATGTAATGTAATGTAATGTAATGTAATGTAATGTAATGTAATGTAATGTAATGTAATGTAATGTATGGTATGTATGTATGTATGTATGTATGTATGTATGTATGTATGTATGTATGTATGTATGTATGTATGTATGTATGTATGTATGTATGTATGTATGTATGTATGTATGTATGTATGTATGTATGTATGTATGTATGTATGTATGTATGTATGTATGTATGTATGTATGTATGTATGTAATGTAATGTAATGTAATGTATGTATGTATGTATGTATGTATGTATGTATGTATGTATGTATGTATGTATGTATGTATGTATGTATGTATGTATGTATGTATGTATGTATGTATGTATGTATGTATGTATGTATGTATGTATGTATGTATGTATGTATGTATGTATGTATGTATGTATGTATGTATGTATGTATGTATGTATGTATGTATGTATGTATGTATGTATGTATGTATGTATGTATGTATGTATGTATGTATGTATGTATGTATGTATGTATGTATGTATGTATGTATGTATGTATGTATGTATGTATGTATGTATGTATGTATGTATGTATGTATGTATGTATGTATGTATGTATGTATGTATGTATGTATGTATGTATGTATGTATGTATGTATGTATGTATGTATGTATGTATGTATGTAATGTATGTATGTATGTATGTATGTATGTATGTATGTATGTATGTATGTATGTATGTATGTATGTATGTATGTATGTATGTATGTATGTATGTATGTATGTATGTATGTATGCTGTAATGTATGTATGTATGTATGTATGTATGTATGTATGTATGTATGTATGTATGTATGTATGTATGTATGTATGTATGTATGTATGTATGTATGTATGTATGTATGTATGTATGTATGTATGTATGTATGTATGTATGTATGTATGTATGTATGTATGTATGTATGTATGTATGTATGTATGTATGTATGTATGTATGTATGTATGTATGTATGTATGTAATGTATGTATGTATGTATGTATGTATGTATGTATGTATGTATGTATGTATGTATGTATGTATGTAATGTATGTATGTATGTATGTATGTATGTATGTATGTATGTATGTATGTATGTATGTATGTATGTATGTATGTATGTATGTATGTATGTATGTATGTATGTATGTATGTATGTATGTATGTATGTATGTATGTATGTATGTATGTATGTATGTATGTATGTATGTATGTATGTATGTATGTATGTATGTATGTATGTATGTATGTATGTATGTATGTATGTAATGTATGTATGTATGTATGTATGTATGTATGTATGTATGTATGTATGTATGTATGTATGTATGTATGTATGTAATGTATGTATGTGTATGTATGTATGTATGTATGTATGTATGTATGTATGTATGTATGTATGTATGTATGTATGTATGTATGTATGTATGTATGTATGTATGTATGTATGTATGTATGTATGTATGTATGTATGTATGTATGTATGTATGTATGTATGTATGTATGTATGTATGTATGTATGTATGTATGTATGTATGTATGTATGTATGTATGTATGTATGTATGTATGTATGTATGTATGTATGTATGTATGTATGTATGTATGTATGTATGTATGTATGTATGTATGTATGTAATGTATGTATGTATGTATGTATGTACATGTAATGTATGTATGTATGTATGTATGTATGTATGTATGTATGTATGTATGTATGTAATGTATGTATGTATGTATGTATGTATGTATGTATGTATGTATGTATGTATGTAATGTATGTAATGTATGTATGTATGTATGTATGTATGTATGTATGTATGTATGTATGTATGTATGTATGTATGTATGTATGTATGTATGTATGTATGTATGTATGTATGTATGTATGTATGTATGTATGTATGTATGTATGTATGTATGTATGTATGTATGTATGTATGTATGTATGTATGTATGTATGTATGTATGTATGTATGTATGTATGTATATGTATGTATGTATGTATGTATGTATGTATGTATGTATGTATGTATGTATGTATGTATGTATGTATGTATGTATGTATGTATGTAATGTAATGTAATGTAATGTAATGTAATGTAATGTAATGTATGTAATGTATGTATGTATGTATGTATGTATGTATGTATGTATGTATGTATGTATGTATGTATGTAATGTATGTATGTATGTATGTAATGTATGTATGTATGTATGTATGTATGTATGTATGTATGTATGTATGTATGTATGTATGTATGTATGTATGTATGTATGTAATGTATGTATGTATGTATGTATGTATGTATGTATGTATGTATGTATGTATGTATGTATGTATGTATGTATGTATGTATGTATGTATGTATGTATGTATGTATGTATGTATGTATGTATGTATGTATGTATGTATGTATGTATGTATGTATGTATGTATGTATGTATGTATGTATGTATGTATGTATGTATGTATGTATGTATGTATGTATGTATGTATGTATGTATGTATGTATGTATGTATGTATGTATGTATGTATGTATGTATGTATGTATGTATGTATGTATGTATGTATGTATGTATGTATGTATGTATGTATGTATGTAATGTATGTATGTATGTATGTATGTATGTATGTATGTATGTATGTATGTATGTATGTATGTATGTATGTATGTATGTATGTATGTATGTATGTATGTATGTATGTATGTATGTATGTAATGTATGTATGTATGTATGTATGTATGTATGTATGTATGTATGTATGTGTATGTATGTATGTATATGTATGTATGTATGTATGTATGTATGTATGTATGTATGTATGTATGTATGTATGTATGTATGTATGTATGTATGTATGTATGTATGTATGTATGTATGTATGTATGTATGTATGTGTATGTATGTATGTATGTATGTATGTATGTATGTATGTATGTATGTATGTATGTATGTATGTATGTATGTATGTATGTATGTATGTATGTATGTATGTATGTATGTATGTATGTATGTATGTATGTATGTATGTATGTATGTATGTATGTATGTATGTATGTAATGTATGTATGTATGTATGTATGTATGTATGTATGTATGTATGTATGTATGTATGTATGTATGTATGTATGTATGTATGTATGTATGTATGTATGTATGTATGTATGTATGTATGTATGTATGTATGTATGTATGTATGTATGTATGTATGTATGTATGTATGTATGTATGTATGTATGTATGTATGTATGTATGTATGTATGTATGTATGTATGTATGTATGTATGTATGTATGTATGTATGTATGTATGTATGTATGTATGTATGTATGTATGTATGTATGTATGTATGTATGTATGTATGTATGTATGTATGTATGTATGTATGTATGTATGTATGTATGTATGTATGTATGTATGTATGTATGTATGTATGTATGTATGTATGTATGTATGTATGTATGTATGTATGTATGCAATGTATGTAATGTATGTAATGTATGTATGTATGTATGTATGTATGTGAGAGTCGTCCGAAAGGTCGTTGCATTGAGCTATGAAGGGGACGACCTTTTGGTCTTAGCGTTGACCTTCGCGAAAGTTCCGCGAAGGGGGTCGCGAAAGTTATTTTTTTTCCGCGAAAGTTTTGTGTGGCTTGCTAACAGGAAGCTGGAGTGATGAACCATGTGTATCTACCGGCAGTGCGCGCAGAATGCCCGCAGAGTAAAGTTGGTCGGAGAATGCGCAGCCTGAGGGTCGCCGCAAGAATACGCCGCTGCAAAAGCAACCCCCAGCCAGCAGAAACCAGCTTCTGGGAGTTTTGAAGCTGTCGGGGCAAGCTGAGCGCAACTTCCAGCCGGAATTTCGCGAATGTTTGGCGTAAGATCCGCGAAAGTTTCGCGAAAGTCGACGGACCTCCCCGCCAGTTTCCGGACATGGACTTTCGAGGCTGAGGAAGTTTAGTTCGTGTACTACTTTCCAATTCAAGCACTGAAGAGCTGCGACTTTCGCGCTGGGGCTGCGAAAGTGTACTTCGTGTACTACTTTTGTGATGAATGTTCTGAAAACAGCCCCGCGAAAGTTCCGCGATGGGGTCCGCGAAAGTTATTTTTTTCTCGCGAAGATGGCGGTTTCCGGAACAAGGAATTTCAGACAACCGTCATGTCTGTAATGTATGTATGTATGTATGTATGTATGTATGTATGTATGTATGTATGTATGTATGTATGTATGTATGTATGTATGTATGTATGTATGTATGTATGTATGTATGTATGTATGTATGTATGTATGTATGTATGTATGTATGTATGTATGTATGTATGTATGTATGTATGTATGTATGTAATGTATGTATGTATGTATGTATGTATGTATGTATGTATGTATGTATGTATGTATGTATGTATGTATGTATGTATGTATGTATGTAATGTATGTAATGTATGTATGTATGTATGTATGTATGTATGTATGTATGTATGTATGTATGTATGTATGTATGTATGTATGTATGTATGTATGTATGTATGTAATGTAATGTATGTATGTAATGTATGTATGTATGTATGTATGTATGTATGTATGTATGTATGTATGTATGTATGTATGTATGTATGTATGTATGTATGTATGTATGTATGTATGTATGTATGTATGTATGTATGTAATGTATGTATGTATGTATAATGTATGTATGTATGTATGTATGTATGTATGTATGTATGTATGTATGTATGTATGTATGTATGTATGTATGTATGTATGTATGTATGTATGTATGTATGTATGTATGTATGTATGTATGTATGTATGTATGTATGTATGTATGTATGTATGTATGTATGTATGTATGTATGTATGTATGTATGTATGTATGTATGTATGTATGTATGTATGTATGTATGTATGTATGTATGTATGTATGTATGTATGTATGTATGTATGTATGTATGTATGTATGTATGTATGTATGTATGTATGTATGTATGTATGTATGTATGTATGTAATGTATGTAATGTATGTATGTATGTATGTATGTATGTATGTATGTATGTATGTATGTATGTATGTATGTATGTATGTATGTATGTATGTATGTATGTATGTGTATGTATGTATGTATGTATGTATGTATGTATGTATGTATGTATCTATATATGTATAAATACGCGTGCTTATGTTCCATGTGTAAACTGCACATGACGGTGTTCATTCTCGAGTAGTCACCCTCCCTGCTAGTGGTCACCTCTCCCTGCCAGTGGCTCCTTTCCTCCCAAATGGCAGCATCGTCAGAATCTGTGTCTTGCGCCAATCATGGACGGAGAAGTAGCTAACCAAGCACCCAAGCCGAGAATGTGCCATGGGAAGGCGACAGCTTACAGAAATGCAGCAGTGCAAGTGAAGCTCTTATAAGTCCTTTCTGTTGGCATTGAAGCTCGGGACTCGGACGGGTGTTTGAATAAATCTTCAAGGTTATGCCGGAAATGCCACTTCAAGGGGCAACTGAACCTTTGCTGCGGCCACGGGAGCGACAACCAGTTGTCCGGTGTGTCGACCAGGCGGACCTCACGGGTCCGTGTATTCAAGCAGTTATCAGTTCCCAACATGTCCATTGAACCAGGTATCATCGAACCATTTTAGGGCACCGTTAAAATTCATTCTTTGTGGTTTCTCTTTCAAACCCTCTAGCGGAACCCTTTGAGGGCTGGGCCTTGGCTGTCAATGTGTCGGGAACCAAACTCGGGATGAAAACACGTTGAACCAAATTTCGGGCTTTGCTGCTCACTCAGGCTCATTTGTTTGTTCCTCAGTTTCCTTGTGGTGTTTTTGCTTCCTTGTTGGAGGGGTTTGCCCAGATTCAGGTGGAACTGTGTTTTTCTTTTCTCGATACTTCGTCAGGCTCATTTGTTTGTGCGTGAGTGTGGTGTTTGTTTGTTTTTTGGTGTGTTTTTCTGGCTGCCCCGGCTTTTCAACACACCCGTCATTCGGCTGTGGGTCAAAAATAGGTACCCAAAATGAAACCTTAATAGAAGCATGGATGATTTAACCTGCGGTCCAATTCCTGGTGGTTAAATTTTAACTCGCACCATTCGGTTTGGTGTTTGAGATTTTTGGTGTGTGTTTTTTGTGAACCTTCTGGCTGCCCCCGGCTTTCAGCACACCCGTCATGTGACTGTGGCTCAATAAGGCGGTACCAACATGCACCCTGGTAAGTGGAACCAAGGACCAAAACCCGCGTAACCCCAGCTCTTCAATTTTAAGCCACAGCCATTTGGTTTATTTGGTTTGGTGTTTGAGTTGTTTTTTTGTGTGTTGTCTTTTTGGAACCTTCTGGTTGCCCCCGGCTTTCAACACACCCGCCATGTGGGTTTCTCCGAGGACATCGTGGTGTCTTTCCGCACCGCGTACTTTGAGCAGGGGAATCTAGTCCTTGACAGCCGGGCCATCGCCTGCCACTACCTGAGGCGGTGGCGCCTGGGCGACGCGGGGGGGTTCCACGTTTTTTTTGTTTCTTGTTTTTTTGTGTTTGTTGTTTGGGAGGGCTAAAAATAAATAAAAATAATAACGTTTGTGTTTTTCTCGGGAGGGCGGGGCTTTGATTTGTGTGCGCTTGGGTGAATTCTATTGCACATTGGCGTGGCTTAGAGCTTGGAACAAGTGCTTGGGCCCCAGGAGTGCAGGTTTGTTCTAGCAATGCCAACCACCCTCAAATTCTGGCAAAAGGACCGCCCAAGGGACGGAACGCATCGCCGAAACCAGAAACTGCCGCTGAGGTTCTTCTTCGACATCTTCGCATCCCGGTGGCAAGGGCTGAGGCTTTCCCTCATGCTGCATCGCCAGAGGTCTTGAGGTTACCCTCCCACCAACAAATATGGAAGGGCACAGACCGCGTTTTGGAGGCAACCGTCTTTTGGTAAGGGATTCTGTACACTTCCGTGTTTGTTGGTGGACGGCAGGCATGTTGTCTTGAATGTACCGCAGCTCCATGTTGGTGATTCTAGATCCCATTCTACGTTTTTGGAGTTTCTGAGGGTGCGTTTTTTCTAGGTTGGTTTGAAGGGACACCAGAAGAAAACCACCATTTTGGGCGTCCCCCTATTTTGACACATGCGCATTGGAGACACATCCAGATCGTCACCAGTTTTGACATCAGCTCAGTCAAGAAGATAGGCCCAGGTGGTATCCCCAACAGCCCTGCAACCCCGGAACCCTCCCTGAAAGCTGCTCCAAATCACTCCAGAGCTTATTTGGGCAGAGACCCCACAACTTTGAGCTGTTGGGGTTTGGTCAAAAAGTCCAATAGTCCTATCTCCTTTTCGTCATAATTCATCTCGGGTCCGTTTTTCTCTTTTTCTCTAGGGGTAACTTCCCCATTCTTTCCAGGGATCCTTCTTTCTAGAAAACCACCAAAAACGCTGGCTGGTTTTGGAAAAGAATCATGGCTGAGAAGAATGGGGAATCAACCCCTAGATGTTCAATCAACCAGAAAGGCGAACTCGCACCGCCCTTTCCCCGGTAGGTTCCCGGGTACCGGAGCTGCAGGTCGTGGCGGTGGATTGGATCCTGGTGGGCCTGGACGGTTTCGCGGTGGCGGAGCTGGCGCCGGAGATGCAGTGGCTGCAGATCATCCGCATGGTGCGTGCCTGGGACAAGTCAGCCCAGGCCTTGGACTAGGCTCGAGATTTGGTGAGAATCCCAAAGCCCCCGCATTTTCAGCGGCCCCCCAAGAAGCCGCCGCAAAGCTTATTGTAAGACAGAGCAATGCGGCTGGCAGACCTTCAGTGGGTTGCTGACTTACTTCCTAAGATTCTGGAAGCAAAACCAAATTGGATTCATCAATTCCAATTACTTTTCCTTTTGGATTCATAACCCCTGGTTGACTGCCAGGCTCACTCCCTAAGATTCTGGAAGATTGCTTCAACGTTTTTTGGGTTTGGACCATTTGGGTTGCAAGCAACAAGTTTGGATGTTTGTTTTCCAATCGACACCCAGACCTTTAGTGGTGCTCGGTTTTCTGCTGCGCCCAATAGCGGTGTGGCCTGTTTTCCCACTTTTCGCGGCTGGATACATCATGCGAAGCCCATGTTGACAAGTTTAAAGGGGGCAAGGTGGAAAGCGGCCAGCAAAAGGATTGATGCCCCAAATGCCCTTTGGTGGCCCATAGTTGACTAGGCCTTGTTAGGAAGCTGCGGTCATAGTAAATGAGAATTATGTTGATCACCCAAGTGGGTGGCGCATTTGTTTCTGACTTGGGAATTGGTTCAAAGGGGAAGCACCCGTTTTGGGCTGGGTCCTCTCATTTGGAGACATGTCACACTCCCAACTATTGAGACACATGCAGGAAAAAGACACAAAGGACACCAGTGAAAACAAAGGAAGTGGACAACACCGGATTCCATTTTGGGGTCCCAAAAGGAACCAACCCCAAAGCCAACCCTGGGTCTCCCAAAAAGGACCCCAAACTGGAGACGGTCCATGTCACTAAGCCAATGGTGGATGCTTGGAGATCCAGAACTGGAGTCTCCCAAATAATTTTTATATCTTAGGTTAGATCCACTATGACACAGCATCTGACATGGTATCTTCGGGGTACCCCAGATGTGGGACAAGGATTCAATTCACAGGAATTCTCCCCGCGCCTCAGACCCCCACGCAAGGAACTCGACCCTGGCATCCGCAAATTAGCAATGGATCTCTCTCCGTAACTTACTGTGCAGGGCTTACAGCACCCCGAGATTTGCAAAGAGCTTCCCCAATCCCGGAACTATGTCATGGCAGTTCAGCGTCAAGCGACCCCTGCACGAAACCATCTCAAAACCTTGACCTGGAGCGATCCTTACCCGTCAAACAAATAGTATGCCCGAAAATAAGTTTGATCCTACTCCCCACGTGCAAGAAGGGTCAGGAGACTCCAGGAAATAGAAAGGCCAAACAAATAACACACATTATTCCCGCCGCATGAGGCATTTTTTTGGTTTTACCCCACCCCAGCAGGCCACAGCTTCCTAGGCTCTTATAGACTTGTAGCATTGGTGTAACCTATCCCCCGCGCTCGCTCCGCTCGTTTGGCTCGGCGCTGAGGGATCTTCCGGCTGCTGAAGTGGAACCAGATGTTCGCGTCGCTACGGGAGCGGATCGCGTCCCACGCGTGGACCACACGGGTGAGCATCGTCAACATCATCTGTCAGAGCCTTCGGAGAGAGTACTTCTCAAAACAGGAATCGGAGCCCCAAAGATGGTCCTCTGCCATTTCTGGGGTTCTGGAATTTCCTTTGGTTTTCCTTGAACATTGTGAGTAGGGGGGTCCTCCATGTTGCAAAAAGGCAAGGGTCGAAAGAAAAAGGGGGCAGTCGCCCTTTGACATTCTGAGGAGGTTGAGTTTTTATCTAAAATATCTCTCTCCCTCTCGCGACGTTGGTGCCGCCCGATTTTTCCCAGTCTTGCGCTGTTTCTTTAGTGCAGTGCGTGTGGCCTTCGGATGGGAAGTCCCGGGTTTCATCGTTCCTTTTTTAGTGTATATTTCTTGGAAAGCGAGGGCAGTCCGCCAGCGGAAGTTTCTTGTAGTTGTCTCGCTTTCCACCGCGAAATATCCGGCGGGGTTTTCCCAGCGGAAGGCTGAAGTCTTGTTCTTGCTGGCAAAGGGGAAGAAGAGCCTAGTACAAGGGCGTCTGATTAGCAAGACCCAGCTACATATTTCTTTGCACTCCCAGCTCCCAAGGAAGACCAATGCCAATGACTACTCAAGGGCACAAAGTTGGTGTGATCTTCAGTTTTTATTCACCTGCAACAAGTTGCAGCATTGGGAGGGGCAATCCCCCGCCTTTTTTGCAGCTGCGCACTTACCTGGCTGATGCCGTTGTTGGTGCTTGAAGCACGTTTCGGGCATGGCTAGGGTTGGTTTGTTTAGGCTTGTTTGGGTGGGTTTATGGTGGGTGTGTTTAGAGTTGGTGGGTTTAAGGTGCAACAACACACACACCCTAGACCCACCCTGAACCAACTCCAACAAACCCACCCACCGTAAGCCCTACCCTAGCCATGCCCGATAAGTTTTTGTTGATGCCCATGAAATTGCTTTTTGATGAGGTGTTTCCCATGTTTTACTCCAGGCGTTTTTTTTGACTGAGTGTTATGGCAAAAAGTGCCCAACTTGTTGTTTGCTCAAATATGTGTTGCTTGACTCGCAAAAAGTTTGGGTTTGGTTTGATTCCTCACTCCACTTTCAGACGCAACAAAACCAAGTAATCGACCAGAAGAGAGATTTGGGTATGGGTCAAAATTTAACCACCAGGGGACCGCAGGTTTTGGTCCATGTTTCCACATACTAGGGTTCCATTTGGGGGTTACCCTAATTAGTGACCCACGGCCACTTGACGCTTTCTTCGAGTCGTATTCGTAAGGATTCTGCTGATGTACCACGTGGTGGCCTGCAGCTTCTTTGGTGTGGGCCGGAAGAACCGGGGCCAGTCCTGGATCGAGACCTACGGACCGGGATAAAAAAGCGGAGGGTGGGGGTGGATGTGGGGGTTTCCACAAAGAAAATCATAGCCACCCCCGTTTCAATCTGGTTGTTGGAAACAGGATTTTAGGTTGGCATTTGTTGTGAGTGGCCAAGGGAATCCCTTGTTTTAGATGAACAAGTTGTCACAAGCATGGCCCGTATTCATATCAGGAAAAGGCTTACTCTCCAGCACCATGCTGACAAAGGCAACCCAAAAGAGCCTGATTGAAAGGAACTCGTCCCTTGGAAAATGGGCGAAGTGCTCTCCCTTTATATTGGACACTGTTGGTGCAATTCTTTTCCATACCGCAGGTTCAGTACATAAGGCTCAGATTCAAGCAGGATCAAACATGCAACTTTTGGCTGGCGGCAGATGGGCCACTTCAAGGAGACCCCAAAGGAGGTTGTCTTAATGACTCAAACCATGTCTCAGCAAGGGGTTGGCCCAATGGCGAGCCCTAAGATCATGCTTTCCTCGCCTGCAGGCTACACCTTTTTCTTTTTTTTAAGCAGGGGTCGAGGAATCCAGGGAACGTTTGGCAACCTCAGCAGCATCCTACTGGTGAGGAATAGGTCATTGGGGGTTTTGCATTGCAGCGGGAATCACGGAAGTGGGCAGGCAGTTTCCCTTGACCAGCGAACATGGAGTCGCGCAGAGACCTCATTTGAAGGCAGAATTGTGCCTGTGTGTATACAACCATGCTTGTTTGCGACAGGATGGGAGGTGTGCTCATGAAGGTGATGAACCTTTCATCACTGGAAACGTGCATTTCCGGGAATCCCTCTGATTGACGGTGTCATCCGAACTCAGATCCAACTAACTACCTTTCGATTCTGCCTCACATCCTAAAACTGATACACCCGCGCCAAGTGTGCTAAACCTGGGAGTCCTTTTGAAACAAAAGAGATGGCGCTGGTAAATCATAAGAACCAAACTGAAGCAGTGCCATCCATTTGCAACCAAACTGGTCTCAAAAGGACATCTATCGCCCCAACCCAAAACCAAATGCAACCTGTCACACATCTCAAAAAAAAGACATCTATCGCCCCAAAACCAAACTGTCACGCATCTCTGTAGACAGCCGTAGGAAACGCAGACTATTGCACCCGGACCTACTTGGAGAACCATCCAAAACTAATGACCCTGCCCCGTGATCCTTGGAAAATACGCCAAGATCTGAGCGATTTGAAGTATTGGCCATCCACATTTGGCCGCGGCTGCCATCCATTCATGCCTTTCGTTACTGGTTCTCAGCAGGCAATCAGGGAGCCCCCATAAACCATCTATGGTTGCAATTATATAAGGGAATCCTTAGGTTCATTCCCAACACTCGGAAAGTCATTCCCTGGTGAGCACCAGTAAGTTTCGTTGCATGCAGATCTGGCGGACAAAGACTTCGGCTACCAATACACCACGACCTTGCACTGGGCGCTGTGTCAGCTAGGCCCGGACCTGGGGATCTGTATTTTGGGCCCCAGGTTGCCACTTGAGCTTCGCATGATTGTTTTACTCGGACATTTTACAGAGAGCGGGTGGACCTTGTTTGTGCAACAATTGATGAGAATGGGGTTTTCAAGTGGATGATGAATGGGGGTGGCGTCGCATTTGAGAAGGGATCTTTCTCTTGAGGAAGCACACCCTCCTTCTTTTAATCTGCGAGGTTGAGCCCCCGTCTCCACCTAGATTCAGCAAATCAAACTCAAGTTCCAGGCCCCAGAACGCCTCCTGAACCAAGCATCGCTGGCACCTGGCAGTCAGCACTCGACAGGCCATCATTTGCCCTGGCCCTCTCCTACCCTGTGTCGACCCAGCCGGGAGTCGTCGCATTTTTGGGAAACCCACAAGATCATCAATGTGGATAGTGGACACCGAGACCTTCTGAGAGAGTTTGTTGGCAGCCTTTGTTCACGCTCAGCAACTTGGTTGCGAAGTGAGTTTTAGAGCCAGCTTCCAGCATAATTACCAGGTTTATCCCCTTTAAAGTGATAACGTAGTCATATTCTTGAATTATGCTCAGCAACTCTTTTGTCACTCTATCCCAGGACTTCAGATGGCCGATGCCTGCAGTGGGTTTGTTCCCAAATGCATCTGAATGGACCTTTGAGTCAGCTTTCATACTGTATCGGTCGTAGTTTTGCAATAGTTCGACTTGTTGGGGCCCGCGAACGGCTGAGCCACAATATCAGGCTGCAAGCGTGATGTGCGGATATGGGTGGTCGATGAATGTTGTGGTGCCTGCTTTGGAAGGACATTTTCTATTTCAGGGGTTTCGCTGACCAGGGTCCTCCGGAATAATCCGAAATCAAGATTTGGTGAAGGTTAGTAAGGGACAGTTTCCACCATAGATAGGTACGACGGCCGCCTTTTTCATTCTCTACATGGTGTTGGGTAGAGGCCTTCAGTACCTCACTCTGTTGTCTAAACCGCATCCTAGGGCTAGGGCTGATGATCGACTGCCGTGGGAACCGGCATTATTACTTTGAAAGGGTCCTTTAACTGACAGCGCTAAGTGACGTGCGTTTGGATGCCCAAGTGTTGCATAAGGGGAGCTGAACGGCAAAATGCCATTCCAAGCATGTTCCTTGCCAGGACAATGTACGAAGGTTGGGGCTTGGGATCAACCATCTTGTAGAAGCATTTTCGGGGTATTTCTCCGATAAAAAAGAAGATCTTCTCCCCCGTATTTACAGCAATTGGGTTAGAGGAAGCCCAAAAGATGGCCCGGCTTTCGTTTTCTTCGGCTCATTTCTCGGGTTCGTCACATGCCATCGGGTCTACGGGTCAGGCCTCGGCTCCAACATCATCGAGGCGACGAACTTTGAGGTGCGGTGCCCTTCTTTTGCATGAGCCGAACATGGGGTCGCAAACAGCCAGAAAAGTTAATTATTGGGAACGTGAAGCCATGGTTTTTGCGGGTCATGGAGACTCCGGCGTCATTTTGCCAGTGTTTTCTGGCCGGTCAACTAGGTTAGAGCCTTGAGAGCCCAAGAGTGGTGGGTTTTACCAGTCACTCTAACTGGTGGTTTGGATTGGTGCTTTGGAGGTTAGAAAGTGGTTTCCCACTTACCCTCGAACCAGGGTCAAGCCCACCACCAAGCCAAATCACCAATTCAGTGCAACCTGAACCAGCACCCATGTTCTACTGAGCTCACCGATCTGGATGCGAAACGAGCTCGCTTATAAACATCCTTTCGAAGTACTGGATGAATCTGTGCAGATCCTTCCGCTTTGCCTGTCGGGTATCTATGTATATATATATATATATAAATATGCTTTTTCTCAAACGGATTGGGTTGTGTTTTTGTGAGGCTCCCAGAGTCCCGGCTGTTTGTGTCATCAAAGAGGATCTCAAACTGTTGGGGGTTCATTGGTACCGGCATGTTTGGCCTTCAAGCCCTGTGCGTTAAGGGCCGTCCGCAAAAGGGGAGGCCCAAAAGGGTCCCCCAAAAAAGGACCCCCAATGAAATCTCACAGGCACCCAGTAAATGCTCCCACAAGAGCCCGGGGAAACTCTACTTTTCCCACACAGAAACACCGACAAGCCCTCCATTTCCCGTAGCCTTCACGGGAACTGCGTATTTGTGACCCCTCTCAAAACAAGAGCGTTTGCAGGGTCGCCTCAAACAAATCGATGACGGTTATCAAAACTCAACTCACCGACGCACATGGTTTTCACTTTTTCTATGTACGTGTATGAAAACAAGAACCTAGAGTCTCCATGACCCTTAAAAGACATGGGGTTATGCCCACTTTCTTTTGGATAATGACCCCATTTTTCAAGGATCGTGGAGCCTACAGGAAAACCTACAACTCGCAAAACAATGCAAAACAATGCAATCGTCTCGCAGGAGCGGCTCTTCGGGATCGCAGTAGTGCTGGGGGCCATGATCACCTTCTCGCGCTTTGGATGTGTGGCTGGGGGAGTGGGCTTGCCCTATGACCCGAAGAACCAGGGACCTCTTGGAGGGAGCCGAGGGGGTAGTCGGATGTGCATGATGTCCAGTTGAATTTGCCCACATGGGTTGGGGGAGGGAGGGAGGGAGGGAGGGAGGGAGGGAGAGAGGGAGGGAGGGAGGGAGGGAGGGAGGGAGGGGATGGAGCAGCAGAAACACTCATTTGCTTGGTTTGGGGGACATGTTCATTTCGTGTGTCAGGAGAATTGAGTTGGCACATGTACCGCTTGGAGGCTGTCGATCGGGCATTCCTACGGTTGGCGCGCCGAGGGCGGTCAGCAAGTTGATGCTTCAAGCATGATTCTCAGTTGATCTGATCAGATGATTTATCAGTTCCACATGAATATGAGTCAAAATAAGGGGACATCCAAGATGGCAAGTTTTCCTTGTGGCCAGCCTTTAAAAACGGGTACCCTCCAAAAAGAAGAAACAAGCACAAATAAAGCGCAGTACGCCATCCACCGTCACCCAGGGCTGTCGTCCGTGGTTCCAGTCGTTTGCTTCGAGGTCGCTGGTCAGTCTGATGACCTCGCTGCTGACCTCGCTGCATAACGCCCAAGAGGAGGAGCTGCATCAGTTTCGCCCCTCGGAATGAAGAGACGGGCGGAGCGAGCCGGCCCGGGGGCCGGGTGCTCGTGGTCAAAGGCAATGTGGGTATGGGTAAAAGTTAAACCACCTGGGACTTGCAGGTTTTAGTGCAGGCTCCCACTTACCAGAGTTCCATTTTGGGTACCTGTTTTTGCCCCACAGCCATGTTGCGACTTCAAACGCTTTAATGAGCGCGCAGGGGGGAAATTAAAGGCAGAAATTGCGGCAGTGTCTGATTTTGGTAATGGCAACCATGGGGCCAGTGTGGGTGAGTCCTAAAGATAGCTTACAGGGGAAACAATGTATAGCTTACAGGCATGAAAGGAAGTGACAAAACGGGACAGTTCGTGAAAGGAGCTGTGGCAAATCGTTTCTCTGGTCGTCGGTGCGTTTCAAATTCACAAACCAAATGGCAAGCCTCAAGCTTTGCCAGCGGTTCTACAGGCAGACTGGTCACGCAGATGAAACAACGGCAGACTGGCAAGGGGTGTCTTTTCTGCTCTGGTGATCTCGGCTTTACATCGATCTCTTTGAGCAAACTCTGTTTCATGCGACAATGAACATCAATGAACACTCTGCGGCTCTGAGAGCAGAGCTCAGCGCAGTTCTGGGCGCTTCTCTCTCGGCAGCCGCCAAAGCCTCTTGGCTCGGAAATTCCTCGGAGTGCTCAGGTACATGCCCAACATAACGCGACCTCCTGGTGGCATGTGAGAAACACCCCGACTGCTGGAGGTCCCCCCAAGATAAAAGGAAATGCCCACGCAATTATCAAATTGAGAATGCCCAAACCAAAGTATCGAAGACCACCCTTCCCCTGGACAAAAACAACTACCTTTCAAGATATTTCAAGACTCGCAATGGAAAACACCAGCAACACCAACCGACACACCCGGGCTCACCGCGAGAAAAAGACCACCAGCTCAACTCGCAGGGCTCCTCCGCAGCTTCCTGGTGCGGAACCAGATCCCCAGGAGCCTCTCCCAGCGTGTGTCGCGCCTTGGCCCTTGGGACTTTTGGGGCGTCGGAGTTTGTTGGAAGACCGCGGGCCTGTGGGGCGATTTTTTTTGGAAACGGAATTCGGCCATTTGAACATGGTGGACATGGTGTCTTAGGTTGCATCGTTTGGGAAAAAAAGCAAAGCCCTGAAAAAACGGCTTTTTTCCACAACTACTGTTTCTTCAGGTCCCAGGTGGACCTTTTGGGGGCCCGCTTTTGGATCCCTCAGATGTAGCCGTAGTTCGGGGACGACCTTGGCATCATGTATGCCTCCCAAGTGTGTAGAATTCTTTTTGGAGGTATGCCAAGCCCATCCCACCAAGGTTGCAAGAGGACCCTGCTTCGTGAACAACTGCGCTAGATGCCCATTGCACTCCATCATAGGTGGACTTCAGAAGCCACATAGCACTGCCACGCACCTCCCCAACTGAGCAGTGTTCTTGTTGCAGTTGAAAGCCGCTGTTTGTTTTTTTCTGGTCTAGGGCAACACCACATCGCATTGTGTTTTCCTTGGTACGTCATATGACATGTGAGGGACTGACGCAGCTGTGAAGGATACAGGGCTTGGCAGAAACCTGTCGTGTGAACCATGTCACCAGAGAAGGCTAATGAGGTGTCTCTGAACCGGCTACACAATTGCAACAAGGGCTTGCCTGAGGTCAACTGGTCAGAAGTGGTGCTTGCAGAACCCAACTTTGGGTTGGACAGGCGCCCGAAAACAGAGTGCGCCCAGCCCTCCGTATCATGCTATTCGCCCAGACAGGGTGGTCCGGAGGATTCAAACTGGGCCAGTTTGGAGAGGGGCTTCTCCGAGGTGCGAGATGATTAAATCATAAGGGTGCAGCGGGGTGGATGGCACAATGCCCAGTAGATGCGGGTGGGGATGAAGACCAAAATGGGGAGATCGTTCCATCTACTTTCACCCAACTGTAGAAAGTTGGTAGCGGTTTTAACTCGTGAGTTTTGACCCATACCCATAGATTCGGAGTATTGTTTTCGAGCCACCGATCACTCATGAAGGATTCCTGATTTCCGTTTCTTTTTTACACCCAAAAGGGGTTCCCCAAAAGGAGATTCCTGGAACAGTTCCTATGTTTTCGGGGTTCCATGTGTATGAGGAGAGTAGATCATCAAAGCGTATTTCAGTTTGTTTTGAATGAACATAAAGTCAAGGGTCCAACTCATGTTTATTTTGCACACCCGCTTGTTCGGGGGTTCAACTCGGAGGGATATTTTGGGCTCACCATGGTTTCCTTGAAATTTCCGGGGATGGGGTCCGATCCCTCTGAATGGTCCGATCGTGAGTTGGCTGTGGGTCAAAAATGGGTACCCAAAATAGAACCCTGGTAAATGGAACCAAAGACTAAAACCTGCGATCGCCTGGTGGTTTAATTTTGACCCACAGCCAGTTCTCACCCCGGATCCTCTGCAAGGCACTTCCTCCAGCACAGCTATCGACTGCAGCAGGAGGCCCTCTCCGACACGCAGGCGGACATCTTGACTGCTATTGGGTTGGATCTTTAGACTTTAACTTTTTGGAAAATCAAGTTGGGTTTTCCACTAAACCCACAAAAAGTTACACTTTTTTCAGATGGGTCAGCAGCAACCAAGAAATCCCCTCGCGAGCCACGTTCCACCCCTCGGGCCGATTGTGGTGACAGCCTCCAACTGAGGGCCGTATAGGCTATAGGTTTGGGGTTGACAATGACTTGGGGTTGGCAGACTCCGCCTGCATTCAGAGCATCCAAACTCTCCGCCTTGCAGAAAACCAGGGGTTTGAATCCGATGATGAATCAGTGTGGCTTCAATTCAAAAGTGCTGCTCCACGGACGTGACGTCGTGCCTTTGTCCAGCACAAAGATGGCAACCGTCCCAACAATCCAACTGCTAACAGGAGCGAACTGAAAGCAACGGAGGCGCGCCGCGGTCAGGTGTGGTCATCTTTCCATGATCATTCAGTTTCCCTTTGTTGTGGTGATGTTTTAACGCGTCTAAAAATTTGGGAACCGCCAAAAAGGGCAAGTTGTCCCTTCAAACCAATGTCGGAGTGCCCTCAAAAGACCCAACTGCAGGGCATAGGAGCACTGAAGCTAGGACCGCTGCGGAAAGCTGGGTAGAGGCCCTTGCAATGATACCGGTTTCACGGAGCCATCTGCAACATCAAAGAAGTTTTTCCCCAAATGCTCCGGAGTAGCCATAGAGAATGCCAATGGTACCATGGTGGGAGATGGGGTTCTGGGTTGGCTGATGGGATCCGAGGGATCGCATTTCCGGCAGGTGCCCTTGCTGAGCTTGCTGTCCAAGAACCTCCAGGGGGAGCTGCAGTTCGAGAGGTCCGACTGGTTCCAGAATGGGCCCTGGTAAGATACCCGAAATTCTAGGTAGCTTCCATTTCCATTCTTTCCAGGGATCCTTCTTTCTAGAAAACCACCAAAAATCCTGGGAAAATGGCTGGTTTCTGAAATGAACGATGGCTGAAAAGAAGGGGGAATCAACTCCTTCTCTAGAATCCCTTCAGACTGAAGTCACACTTTGGCAAAGCCTCTACTGGCCTGCACCGGCAATGGATCCCTGATCCCAACCGACCTGAGAAACCCGGCTCCGGACGGGCAGGTCTCACTCCAGTAAGACACCAGGCACCAAGAGCGTCCTTAGTGTTCTTCGAGGCGATGATAACTCACGTAGGCCAAATCTGCGACGTCTCCAGTGGCTTGTCCAAGCAATTGGTTTCACGAATTGCCAGACATGTCTTACCTTGTTGCCTTTCTGCCGGTTCCTTCCTTTTTTGTTTTCAACCAGCAAAGGGTTGAGAGTTGGGGGTGTAAGTCTGGAGCTAGCGCAGCGCGCCTCGCAGCGCTTTTCGAGAGCCAGCGCCGCTCGCAGGTACAAACAATGTATGGGCCGCCTGCCTTTTGTAGATGCCCTACTGGAAGGCCGGCCGGTATTGTGCAAGCGGGGCATCCTAATCCAGTTAAGGATCCACCCGTTGTTTCTCCAAGTGGTTTTTGTTGGAGAGTCAGCTGCCCTCAAATGAAGCACTCGGAGAAAAAACGGGAGTGTCCTTGCTGCATTGCTTCTGAGTGAAGAGCCTGTCCCCGCGGATTTTGGGCCATGCGAGGCCACGATAGGCAAAGCGTTCCAGCGGTTTTAAGTGCCTCAAAGTCAGCGATTCCACCCGCAAGGCGTTTCTTTGCGCGTCTCCTTTCAACCCAAGGCATTTCTGAATCACTTGGTGTGTCTTTGAACCCTACCAGAGGGCGACCTGGGAAGACCGAACCTTGGGATCCGTGGGTTTTTCAGAAAACAGGAATGGCTCCACGTAGCCTTTCACCAAGAAACATGGAAGTGCACAGGCCCCTAAGAGGGTTCGGCAGTCTTTCAGCAGGGGCCTGTTTCCATGTTTGAAGGGCAGGTATACGGTTTCGTCGGTGACGTTCTATGGGCCCAAGCTGGGCCCAACGCAGTTGCCGCCCTTGACAGAACGAGCGATTCGAATCGTCCTGCAAAGCTCAACAGGTGGTTTCCCAAGAGAAACACACCTTCAACACCAAGAGGTTAACAGTCCACCCCTTTCTTGCCCATAAAACAAAACGCATCAAAAAAAACCGAACGGTTCGCGTGTTTTGCAACATAACTGTGGGTCAAAACCCTGTACCCCTCGTGAACATCAAAATAGGTGGCAACTGCATGTTCATCCACCCCAAATTGGAGCCATAGGTTATGCGCCGTGGCCGTATGTATGTACGTGTCCGACAACAAGAACCTAGAGTCTCCATGACCCTTTACAAATGGGGTCATGCCCCCTTTCTTTTGGTGGGAGGGGTTTTTGGTGGTTCGCTAGAAAGCAGGATCCCTGGAAGGAATGGACATGGAAGCTACCCTTAGAAACATGTGTATCAAAATAGTTGCCAATGGATCTTCATCCACCCCATTTTGGGAGCCAAAGGTTCTGCAACCCATGGCCACATGTTCTTTTTTCTTTTCGTCGCAGGGGACAGCGGTTTGAACAAGTTGGTGGTCCACGACATCGCCGCCAGCGCCGTGTCCCAATGCGTGCTCGCCTCCGGGGAGGTCGTGTGCCTTGGACCAACGAATCGGTGGCTTGCTGGAGCTCCGTTTCGGGCATGCGGCACCTTTTTGGATTTGGACCATTTTGGTGAAGCACACGTTTTCTTTGCAAGCTTACTCAGGAAGTGAGGTGTGTGTGTGTGTGCATTTGTTTTTGTTTGGGGCTGGGCAAGCGAGGAAGCAAGGACAGCCACCATTTTGGAGGGAAACCCCATTTAGCAAACCAAAAAAACACTTTTTCCTCCAGCTGATTTGGCCAGAACATATTTGCTTTAGCGTTGACTATGCACTTTTAAAACAGAAACAGAACCTATTATTTGGTCTACCCCAGATCATTTTGCGCTTATTTGGCCCCTAACCTCCAAATGACCAATAAAAGTCACTAAACGGAGGGAGGCTGACCAGAGTTGGGTCAAGAACTATCAAGTCCTTTCTTGGCCGGAAGGTTAAACCCTTTTCATTTTTTTTTTGGGGGGGGGGTCCGGTCAGCACGTCTTTGGAAAGCTCCTTTAGGTTAGGCCTGCCCAATTCTGGGTCTTTGAGCGTGTTGTTTCGGGAGGGAGGGATCCCAAAATTAGGGGGGGAATTAATCCCGGGTTCCCATTCCCGCCCCATCGCCCCCAAACAGATTGGCACAGACCCTCGGCGCGGAAAAACCTCGTGTTGGCGCAACCCTATTCCCGGTGCGGTGGTTGGCTTGAACAACGATTCGAAGAGCAAAGAGCGCCGAATTTCCGAAGACATCGCTTTAGCGGACCTCAGGCCAACCAACCACGGCTCTTTCTTCCGCCGACCTTTGCCTCCGAAAGGCCCATTCCATTGCTTCCATTTGGTTAAGCATACTTTTTATTTTCCTGTTGGTTTTAAAGGGAATCTATCTCTACTGGAATTATGTTTAATCTTTTCCAGGGGACTTGAGCAAATGGAGGATTGGGTTCAGCCAAAGCGTTTCGCGTGCGTCGGCGCGCTCAGGTTTCTGGGCGGGGACTGGGCAGAGTCCACCTTGATGGCCGTCCAGGGCTCCTGCAGCTACTGGCAGAACTTCGGGCCCCTTGGGGGATTTCGCTTGTTCGGTTTTTCGGCGGACGCGCCAGTGGTGCCCTGTGTTGTTTGTTGGTTCTTCTTTTTTTTGGGGGGGGAGGGGTTTCTCGGTCTCAAGCAGCTTTTGTTGGTTTTTCAAGGGACACCCAAAAAAGGAACCAAACGTGTTGGGTGACCGCTACAGAAAGCGCCTTGTTTCCTTTTTTTGGAGGAGTTCCCGAAAAAAAACAACTGAAGAAGGGTGCTCTTTTTCCCCGGTGGGCACTGGATTTCTAGGCATCTAGACTACATCCGTTTGGGAGGAAAACGGGGCGACTAGCTCTAAGTTTGCAACTAGAACTCCGGGACGAGCCACACATTCGCCGGATCCTTCGCGGCCAGTGTCGACCGTGGCTCATTTGGAACAAGACGGGGGAAAAGGTGAACAGGGGAACGTGTCAGGCCGGAGCGAAGGCAAAAGGGGGATCTTGAGCATGAGGCACAGTAGTCGTTGACTATGCCACACAAAAGGAATTGACAACAGTACTGGAAGTCTACTGTTAGCACTTGGCCCGAGAACGATCCAGCTGGTAGTGCTGTTTCGACCAATTTAGGGGGCCATGGTCGACTATGCCTTGATGATGTAATGAGGAACTACTTGTCCGTGGTGGAAATATGCAATGGGAGGTGATGGTTCGGGTGGTTATGGAAGTCTGCGTTGTGGGCTTGACTTGACTGTGCCATGGGCCTCGGCTTGCTGGCTCTTATGTTGCCTATGATTTTGTTACTGATTCAGTCAGTGGCATTGCTCGCATCCTGGCGCTGCCAGAAAGCTACTGGGAGGAGGGTGCAGTTTGGCGTGATGCTCGGTTGGCTCTCATAGGCGCGAGGTGGCTGGCAACGCAGATTCGCAACCGCGACATAAGTGTAGGACATTTCTTCGTCGCGATGCGCAGACGTCGTCATGCCCATTGTGTACATGGGTGCTCTGCACGTCGCCACCTGCGATTGTTCAAGTGTTTCGGAGCAAGGTCTGTCGTTTGTGGCCTTGTCTGGTTTGCGGCCGCCCACGCGGCGCAACGACCGCGCAAGGGGAAATGAGGTGATTTGTCTGTTGTGATGCCCGTAAGGGTGTTTGTGAAACACAGGAGCGATTGGCTGTCCCCGCCCAAGGCATAGCTTGTTGGCATTTTCTTTGCTCAGGCACTGCGTTCCGGTTCCGCAGAGTGTCCTTCCTTGTCAAGCAAGGTTGCCCATGCAGCTTTTGCCTTGCTGCGGGAGGTGTACAGCTTGCGTTGCACCTGCACGTTCTGTGTGCTTCTTTTGCCATCAGGCCGTCATGCGGACAACCTGCCGGTGTCACGCAATCTTGCCGGGCGGTGCAGCTCAGAGACGTAAAGGCGAAACCAAGGAAGGTAGTCTAGGGGAACTCAGTTTCCCCACATCCTTTTGGAGCAAGCAACTCGGAATTAGTTTTGTCTGTTGCCACGAGGAGTTCTGTAAGCTTTTCGAAAGTTGCAAGCGACCAACCAAAAAGCTGACTTTTCGAGAATCCCCAGTCAAATCAATGGGCTGGGGCTCACGCAATCCAACCTTTCCCCAATCAACGATTTGGATCATCAAATCAATAGCTGTGCGCCAAATACAAACCATTGTTCTCTCGGGCCCAAAAGTTAAAAATCACTTGGCCTTAAGCCTGCTAAATCTCAGGTGATTTCTCGACAATGCATCCTTTGATTGTTGGACCCCATCCAGTCGCACATGGGCAGCATCACTCTCACCCAGGAAACAAAGGGAAGACCCTACTTTGAATGTTCTGGGTACGTGGTAAGTAGGATGGGTGTGTCTCAAAATAGGAGGCTTTGTTGGATAGGCCTAGAAGGGAACCAAAAGGAAACCACCTACCTGGAAACGTCCCCAATTCTGAGAAACACCTAACCATGATTGTAAGTGGGGGAACTGGTGTGATAGTCCCCTTATAATCTAATAAGTAGCTTGAACACCCCCAAGTCCATCAACCGTGCGCGATGCCCTTTTCACGCTGCTGAAACTGCAGCGACATTTGGGAAGGAAAGACGCGAAAACCGTATCAACTCCCCTTATGGGATGGTCCAACCGGCGTTCCCAACACCTTTTCGGGGGTTCTAAAACCGAACATGGTGTGGTGAGTTTCAGCAAGAAACCAGGAGGCTTAGGCTTTGGTCCCCTCAGAACATATTCTGCAAAAATAAGTGCACGAGACAAGCAGAATCTGAGCAACATACTTTTGCACTGAAAGTTGGGCCAAGGAGAAAGGGGAATGGGGAAACCCTACTCAGCGAGATTTTGTTTTATACTTTTAGCTTCTGTGTGGTTGCCGTGGTCACGCCCGGTGCCGGCCAGAGCAAGTCCGACGAACTTTATGCACTTTAGGAAGCCAAATTTCGTGGCACACAAGAATGCCTTCCTCAAATGGGTTAGTGCAAATCTGCTGGGTTGGGCCAATCCACTCAAGTTAGCCTTGCACTCTGTGGAATTTGTCGGTGCCCAAGGCAAGAGAAGGTGCCTGCGAACGCCTGGATTGCAGAAATGTGCCTCGGTCGGTCAAAGAATAGCGCGAGAGACGTGGGGACGCCCTAAACGTTCCACGAAAACCGCAGAACTCGCCAAATTGCCCACGTCGTCTTAGGGAAACACCTATGTCTGACCGTGGTGGGTCCTCGCATGCCACAAGCTGCCAAGGCGAAAATCACTCAGAGTCCTTATCTCGCTCCCTGCGTTCATGGGCTTTAGTCTTCCTAGGGAAGAACATTGTAGCGGCAAACAGCAAGTTTCGACTCGACTCAGGAAGTGTGTGCAAATCATAGGTTGGGCGTTTCTCTCCAACAACTTGGCGTTGTGAGCAGCTAACCAAAGGGCACCCCTTTTCAGGCGCCTTTTAAGTGCCCTTGATGCTTTTTTGGGGGTTGCCGCCAATCGTTTGGGTAGATGGGTTTCAGGTGGTTGGTCTTCATGTTGTAGACCCAACTGTCCTGTGTCACACACGCGCACATACACGCAGGCGCTGTAACACGCACGAGAACAATCATGAAGCATGAGCACAAGTGTGAATTTAAGCACAACTGTAAAGACGCACACGCATACACAGACCAGCACAACCACAAGCACATGCAAAAGCAAAACACCCACAAGCAAACACCACACACAAACACTGATACAGAAACAGACGCACACACACGCACACACACAGAGACAACACACAGACACACACACACACACTTACACACTTACACACTTACACATTTACACACAGACAGGAAGAGATGTGCATTGCAAGTCAATCCTTGCTCCCAGCAACTTACTGCACAGCTTGCTTCTTGGCTGGGCGAGCGTGGGAAGTTACGGCGTTGTGTCAACGTAAAAGGCTTCACCTTCGATTTGGTGATCGCACCGAGAGCAATGTCACCTGAAGGTAAAACGAGCTTGCTATGTTGTAGGTCCTTTGTTCGGGGATCCCAATTGTAGGTTGCGGAGTTATTAGAGTCATTGTAGAGTTTGCAGACGTGGAACCTTCCAAGCCTGCACTTCGCAGCCGTGACTTATCCTTCGCGCAGGGAGCCCCATCTTACAAATCCCGAGACAGAGACAACATAAGTACGCCAACGCATGCACGGCAATATTGCAACATTTGGGTCATTTGGGATTTTGTAGGATGGTAAAACCCATTCGTCAGGATTTCGGACAACAATGACAACCAGTTCAAGGATTCTTACAAGAGAGATCGGAGCCACAGCCAACCCTTCTGGCTGTGAGGTGTTTGTGGACTGGCTGGTACTACTTGGGGGACCTCGTCACTCAAGAGCTCACGGTGTTAGCGCCCGAGCAGAAAGCCAGAGTTGCCGTTTTATTTTCGCCCTGGAAGGGGGATCAATGCATCAGGGTTGTTCTGAACCTCAAAAGATTGATCAAACTGCAAGGCTAGACGGATACCCAGTTGGTAAGTGAATATCCTATTGTTGCACTTTTTCAGTGGCCGACGGCATGGGACGATGAGCCCTGTGGGTGAATCACCGGCCAGTCAGTCAACAATACAACTGCCCACTTTATGGCGAGGTCACCAATTCGGGGGTACAATTACTAGGGAATCAGGTGATTGCAGGTTTCGGAATTTTGCGCAAGATTTGCAGATCGGTGTTCAAACCGTGAGCCACAACAAAGGAAAGTGGTGGTCCGGCCCCCCCCCCCCGAACGTCGGGTTCCATGTTGATTGGTGGGAGGGTAGCTTCGTCCCAACAAATACGGTGGATGGTTGATGAGCGAAATCCAGGAATCGCGCCGCGAAAGGAAACCATGGTTAGTTGAAGCCAGAACGTTTGTTTGGTATTTGCAGGGGCATCGAATAATGTTCTTCGGTGGTTGTTCCGGCTGTTAATTGGTGGCAGGGTAACTAACGCCAGCCAGGTAGTGAAGCCCACCGCACCGGGGCCCTAGTGACTAGGCAGTGGGTTATATGACTAACAGCAGAAAATGCGAGGCATATTTCTTGGGACGCGGTTTTTAACCCCAGTGAGGTGAGCATCAAGATGTCCAGCTTCTGCGACACCGTGTGCAAGTCTGCGGACACGCAGCAGCTCGCCAAGCTCTTCTCGCAGGACGCAAAGCGCTCGCACGGCGCAAAAGGGTGGTCGCGGGTCGCTCGAAGTCTGGCTGTATTGCTGTGGTATGATACGGATGGCTCGTGTTTTTGAGGGTACGCTTTTGGAGTGGTTTTACATTTTGAAAAACCAAAGGGGCCCCGCATTTGGGGTCACTCATTTAGAGACCAGGATTCAACCAGACATGCGCGAGTCTGAAATCGGGGACCCCCCCCCAAAAAAAACTGGATTCAATCCAACCCCTAGTTGCGGTCATGAGGAACACCGCAGTATTAATATGTGTGGCTCAAACATGTTGATGATGGTCAATACCATGACCACATTAGAGTGCAAACGCAAGCCGCAAGAGCACAGAAGGATTCATGCTCTTGCGTTGGACAAACCTGCCAACTCAGCTCAAAAGGAAAAGATCCATGAACCAATTTGTTTCAAGGAGGGCTGTTGCAAGGATTGGCGCATAGTGATGCCCGAGAATAGAAGACACGAGTATGCAACTCTTGCCTTCCATGTGAGTATGTATTGGCCTGCAAAGTGCACAGGCAGTGTGTCCCATCCAACTTGTCCAATGTCAAACTTTCAATCTTTTGAATTGTTATTTGTTGTTTTCGTTTAGTGGTGGCTGGAACCACACCAACAGTTGTGCCTTTTAACCCCGGGATTCGAACCAGCCCTGTGGGGTCTTTGGCGAGTACATTCCTGATGTCCTGCTTGAGCCGGTTGCCCTTAGGTGGAAATTCCATGCAACTCATTAGGTCTCTGACAGCGGCTAGCAGTGTACGCTTGCCCAATGATAGACCCCAATCCTTCCTTTAAAATACTGCCCCAAAGGCGGTCCCCGCATCCGTCCCTCACATCGAGGGAAATAGCCATGCGAGGGTTGCCACAATGGCCCAAATAATTAGATTGGAGTTGCGGAGTACCTGAAAGCCAAACTAAGTAATGATCACAAGAGAAGAGATGTGCGCAATTACTTAGCCCCTTATATTGCCACTCGATCGATCACTTGCGGAAACATGTTGGGTTCATTTCAAGTGCTGGCCATGCATAAATAAACACGCAATTTGCACAGCCCATGTTCGCCGACAACCAGGCCACCTGTTGGGACCCTGACGTTTGTGCGGAGGGCAAACAGGGTCACTGCAGCCTTGGCCCCTCGTCGCTTGAGTGGGTTTGTCTACCTCAAGCCTTCTTGCTTCCTCGAATCCCAATCCCTGTAAGTCCCAGGTTGGTGTGAGAAACGAATTGCCAACAGTGTTCATGATGAGCTATAGTGGATGAGATGACATGGCTTGGTGAGAAACACCCTCAGCATGGCTGGTGGGCACAAGTCCTCATGTGAGAAATGGTCACCCAAAAGGGTCACAAAATAAACATCATGCCTACAGGAGGTACAGTCGCCAAATTTACCATCACAGAACTGTGTTACTCGCCGAACTCCAGTTTCATTGTGGGGGAGATGATCAGGACAATACGTAGCTGAGATCTTGATTAGCTTTCGGCAACCCGCCGTACGAGGCTAACGCAGCCAATCAATGCATTGCTCAAGGTAAGATGATTTCGTGTTGCAGGAGCACACAGCCCCATTCAATGATTATGTTGAGAGTTGTCAACGTACGGGACCCGCAAAAAGCATGGTTGTCCTTATGGTTGCCCTCACAGCCAAGGTGAAAAGGGTCAACAACAACTCACATCCATCTGGCTGTGGGTCAAAACCAATGGTACCATTTTGGGGTAAGGTGCACCACCCATTTTAGTCGGCTTTAGTGGGGATTGGGATGTTCACTTGGGGGGTAACCGGGCTTTGGACCCACAGCCATCCAGGCCCGAGTAGCTCCTCTGCTTTCGGCAGGACTATGTGGCAGCCCTGAACGCGGAGCAGGTCTCTTCAGACCTCTGGACGTTCGAAGGAGTCCAATTTGAGCGGCAGTGGCGTTCCGGTTTGGGTTCAGGGGCTTTGGCTTTGGCGGCTTGGGGGTTGCGGGGTTCGGGGTGGGGGAAGCATATCAGTTGGTGATGCGTCCGGCAACTTCCCAAGCAACGTCCGCCCTGGGGTCTCCGGTATTTTGTGGGACTAAAGCGGAATCAGAAAAACATATTTTCTGTCTACCCGGCCCCTGATGTGGGCTGAGAGTCTGAGAGTCGTCATTTATTTCTCGAGTGGTATGCAACAGAGCCGCAGCGGACATTCGTTGCAACCCCTGTTCAATACTCCATGTAACACACCGTTCGCCCTCGTACACCCCCCCTTCGTACATACCCCTCGTTACATGCCCGATTAGGTACCTGCCGTATCAAGAGTCAACTAGAGGGCTTGCCCGTCTTCAGAAGAGAAGTCCATGGGACGTGTTTCTGTGAGCTTTCACACCCCGCGGCTTTCAACCTGGCGCCATGGAAGCCAACTTTGCCAGCAGCTTTCGAGCTGGAGTGCAAGCGTATTCTACGCATCTGACAAGCCCTGTTTTCCCGCAACGTGACAAGGGCCCCATGTTTCCTTCCTTATAATAGGATTGATGCCGGGTCGCATGTCACACGCCCTCCAAAAACGCCACACCCAGCCACCGCTTTCTCCGATTCTTTTTGCAGGCACAGCAATGAAAACCAGTGCAGCCTGAAGGAACTAGTCCCTTTGAAACATGAACATGCAAATTTAGGGACTCGGACTCTGCCCCAACCTCCAGTGGTGCCTGCAGGACCCATTGATACACACACACACAAATGGTTGCTCGAGCTTTCGTGGCAAATAAGTGCGCAACTGTGCAAGTAATGGCAAATGCAAACACACGGATTGCGGGGCAGAGCTTTGGCTCACTTTTTGGAATTGCACCCGAGTTGAGGAAAGTTGCGCCCGAGTTGCGGCACATTGCGCTCGAGTTGCGGGTTCATTTCCTCTCAGGCACTTCACCAAAGCAGCTAGGCAACTTCAAAAAGATCTCGAATTGGATTTGAGCAGAACAACGCGCTGGAACACCAAAAACTGCTTTTTTTGTTGCTTTTGTTTGGGACGACGACGCCGAAAAACAAATAGCTTGCCCTGTAACTTTTGTTGGTTGGGTTTCCTGCACTTCGCCAAAATCAGTCCCCAGAAAAAGGGGGGTCCTTTTCTCCCGAACTCCCCCAGCTTCCATTTGTTTAATTGAGTATTTTTGTTCCCCTGTTTGTTTTAAAAGGAATCCATCACTACTGGACATATTTGTTTTGTTATTTTTTCCAGGGGGCTTCAGCAAATGGAAGCAAGTGGAGCTTGAAGCCTTTCCACGAGGAGCCGATTTGGGCAGCGAGATGGCCCTGAGGAGGACAGAGAGCGCTACACTTGGGAGGCGGGGGACCGGGGATTGACAGCAAGGGACCCGTTGCGAGGAAGGCGGTTCCATGTTTACTGCATAAAACAAAAAAAGCCCATTGTAGCTAGAGGAATCTTACTACCTAGTTGAGTAGCACACCTGCTCAAGAGGACCGGTTGAGGACTGCACACATGCCCACTACATGATAAGCACACCCGCGCATGATCACTTGCTGAGCGCTGCGCGCGTGTCTGCATGATTAGCACTGCGATCACTGCTTAGCACACATGCCTGCCAAACGCTACGCGCACATCCGGCTCGGCGCTCGGCACATATTGCCTTGAACTGATTGGTTTGCAGGGCCAAACTTTTCGTGGAGTCAACTTTGCAGCGCGTGAACTATTCTGGGTCTGGGAGATTTGTTGTTACCCCTTGCAGGCCCCAACCGGGCCCAGCAGGCACGGAGCTAGGTCTCTTAGGCCACAAATCTGGGCAATCAAGGTGAAATGTGGCACCCCGTGCGAAGGCAGCGTGTGGTCAAAGATTTACAGGTGATTGACGCAAGCAATACAAGCAATTGTGGTGTGCAAGGCCGTTTACCAAGGCAATAGGGCTCGATCCCGCGCTCCCCCCTTCAACAAAAACAACGACATGGAGTAGAAAAAGCAAGGATTGCGTTGCGGGTTTCCACCAGTCCGGCCCCTTGTAGCAGCATGGCCTTTTTTTCCGTGTTGATAGGGCAAAGGACACCAACCCTGATTTCAGGGTTCAAACGCTCAACTCTCTCTCCTTGCCCTGTTCCGCTCACAAGATCTTATTCGGGTCCCCTGAAACGGGAGGCTGCTCACTGGATTCAACCCCACCGCCTTTTCCTTGTTTCCGCGAGTTGGGGGATTTAGAAGCGCTGGTTGCTTTGGGGGGGGGAACCCCCCATGAAGCCACCTTGTCACTTGGGCCCTTGAGCTTTTTCGCTTCCGCCAAAGGCAACCATGGCCCCGGACACCCCGCGATGTTCCCCTTCGCCCGAGGCAGTGGGTCCAGAGCATCTTCGGCAAGAAGAAGCGGCGCAGCAGCGTCCGTCGGGCCGCAGCCTGAGTTGAGGAGTTGTCACTCGGTCAAAGGTATCAGAGAAAATGATCGGCCCGCCATAGGCCGTTTTGCTGGTGGCCATGTGGATTCCAAGGTTGGCTTGTCTTGTGCCTAGTTTGGTCCAGTTGCTTTTTTTCCATCTCTATATTTAAGCATCATCCAAGAGGAAGTCTCTGCTCAATTAGGACGATTGCCAGAATTGGGCAAGTAGCACACGCAGACGGACCCGCAACCTTTGTGAACTTCTGGTCAAGCTTTCCTGCAGGGACACAACTTGGGAGGAAACACAATGCGCCTTTTGTGATGTAAAGGCTTGCCCCTAAAGTTCTAGGACCAGACAAAACCGCTCTAAGCTGATAGGAGCGACAACAGCAATGGCACCCAGGCAGGCCTTTGATCAGATTGCCAGCACGCCTTTGGCCCGCTCGCGTTGTAGAGACAAGTTCTTACGTGCCAACAAAAAAACCGTTGTGTGTGTGCGTTCTCCCTTTCGTGCTTGTCGTTGTTCTGTTTTGCTCTCTCGCTCTCTCTCTCTCTCTCTCTCTCTCTCCCTCTCTGTCTTGTGCTGGTTGCATATCATGCAAACAACTAACCTTACCCCGCTCAAGCCAGCAGCAAGCTGTGATGGGTAGGTTGACACAGCTGACTCTGAGCAGGTTGGAGTTGCCCAGGAAGAAGCTTGCGTGGCAGAGTTTTCGAGTCGGGTCATCAGAGGGCCTTGCGTGCTTGCAGCTGACGCCTTTGCAGACGAGGGTGGTGCAGGCATTGGGGGCTGGTGCTTGGTGCCGGGTATGCCCTTGTGCCTGGAGAACATTCTCTGGTTCAGCGCGCCGATTCGGCTTCTCGAAAGCAGCAGCAAGCTGTGAAGGGTAGGTTGACACAGCTGGAAGCCTGTCAGGCAGCACCCCCCGCCCAGGCGGCGTAGTCCAAAAATAAGCTCAGGTGATATCAACAGCATGCGGTGGAACCCTGGTGGAACCTTACCTCAGGGCCGCTCACCCCGGAGCCTATCTGGGCTTAGACCCAAAAGCTTTCAGCTGTTGGGGAAAAAGTGTGTGACTGACTGGGGCGGGAAGTTTCTCTCTTTCGGGGTTTTAGCACGCGCAGCGATGCAGCTTTGAAACAACCGTTTGGGCGCTTTGGCCAAAGTTCTCAGTCCACTTTGCGCGGATTCGGTTCTAGGATCTCTGACTTTCGAAAATTTCAGAGCGCAACTCAAAGCAGTACTCTCCCGCAACCATGACTTGCTTTGGTTTATGAACCAACCTGAACTGCCGATTTCTGGCAAGTGCCAGTGGTGCTTCAGATTACTTGGCTGGCGCCTGGAAAAAAGGTGACAAAGGTTCTGACTGCGGGCCCCAGTGAAACACGCATTGTACGCTGAAGGGATGGGGCCAAGCTGCACGCAAACAAATCAGCATATTGATGTGCCCTGAAGAGGGCGGCAATGCCAGAGCCTGTTTTTTTGAAATTGTCAAGCATCAAACTTAAACGTATTGCGCATGCACAAAATCCTGCACTAGTTGGTAGGGGTTTTTAGCCCAGCCACAGGATTTCATCCATTCCAACAAGCGCAGGATTTTGTCCGTGGCCTCTTTTGGGATGGGGACATCTAACACGCCGTTGGCTCTTTTAGGCCACATCTTGGCAAGCCTTCCGTGTATCTTCGTGCCCATGAAGTGAGCCGATGGCTCGGGATGTCTCAAGGGTACTTGAGATGCTGGAGCCATAGGGGTACTTTGGCATTTCTTGTCTGTTTTTTCGCTGAGTGTTTTTGAGGGTGCCCTTTTGAAAGGGAACCCAAAAGGGTTTCGCCATTTCGGGTTTCGAATGCCCTGTTCCTGTTCTGACATACATAATTACTTCTCTCTCTCTCTTTTTCTCTCTACGCGAGGCCTCATTGATTCAGAACAGTCAGCCAATTGTGCCCGGCACTGGTCTCGTGAAGGAGGAGCCGCAGGCGAGCCGAAGTCCCAAAAAAAGGGCGAGAGCCGGTTGCAGGGCCCAGTGGTTTGAGGGGGTGTTTCTGAAACAAACAGGGGGATATGGGTATGGGTCAAAATCAAACCACCAGGGGACCGCAGGTTTTAGTCCATGTTTCCTCTTACCAGGGTTCCATTTTGGGTACCTATGTTTTGACCCACAGCCATATTTATGATTCTTCTGGAACCTCTTTTTTGGCACGGACTCACTTGTGCAAAGCACACACGACAGCTTTTGGTTTCTGCCCCCGGCTTTGCCAGTAAGCTTCCGGGCATTTCCGGGCGCTGGAGCTGCAGCGAGTGTTGAGTACTCCGATCAACATGGAACCCGGGTTCAATTGGATTTGTTTTTTCGTAATATCTCTATGTATATATATATATATGCACATGTATATATCTTAATGTATATATTATGTACACATGTTTTTGGGTTCCATGTTAGCCTGCAGGAAAGTACTGTGTTGCATTTGTAGGTACCCTTTTCTTGAATGGCCTTTTCGGAGGTGGTTTATTTAAGGCTTAAGGCGAACCATGAGGGGGCCTTGAAAGCAGTCCGTCCGAGCAAGACATACTTCGCAGATGTTGCCTGGAACCGACTTGTGATGTTCAACCACTTCTGAAATTCCGCTATAGTCAGGGGATGGGCACACACATGATGCCCAATCATCACTGATGACACCTCCGGATCAGTCTAAGTAAACACCCTGGGCCTGAAGTCTCACCGGTTGAACCTCTGCAAAAGCGCGCCACACATGTCCAGGTTCTTCAAAGGAGGATCCTGTTCGGTTTCTTTGGTTTCCCGAAAAGACGACAAGCCAGTCGCTTTCAGCAGGGCTCAAAATATTTCCATTTTGCAACCATTTGAAACATGTTGCTTTTTCAACACCAAAATAAAGAAATGGAAGCCACCATTTACAAGTTGCAATGTTCAGCTGTTTCTACTGTAAGGATCCCTGGTATGGGTCAAAAAATACACCACCAGGAATTGGACCGCAGGTTGCAGTCCATGTTTCCATTTACCAGGGCAACCCATTTTGGGTGTCTTTTTTTGACCCACCCGTGCCTTACAACCAAAGTTCAACTTTGCAACCCGTGTTCTGATCGCCAGCCTGGGCAGCTCCCCGGATCTGTGAGCGAGAAGGACCGACGGGTTACTTCTTTTGCGCCCGCTCGCTCGACGGTTCTACCAAACGGGTTGTAATCCTTCACCAAGAAACAATCATGTGTGTCCCTTTGGGAAGGGAATACGCCTAGTAATATAAACACCAGGCCTGAAGGCTAAGGGCCACTGAAGGCCGTCTGTGGCCTGTTCTTACCCCTATTAGTCGTTAGCAGCCCTTATTGGGATTGGGAGGCTTTATTGGGGGGTGCTTGGCAACCATGATTTGCCTTATTTGCCGTGTTCGGCCGTATAAAGCCCGTATATTGTCGAACACATATCGAACAAAACATAACGCGAAGAGAACTGTTTTTGCCCGTATGATCATGTTTTTCGGGCAAAGCACTTTTGGGGCTCCAGGCAGCAAAGGATGTTCATCGTAAGTGAGCTCCATTCATCCCCAAATCGGTGGGCTCGTTTGCATTTAAGTGGTTCAAAGTTTAGAGCCCGAACTGGGAGGTGGGCGAGATGTTCGCTTTAAGTGGGTGACCCTTGCCCTTGCCTTAATGGGGCTGAACAAAGATTGCTATGGGGTTAACATTAGTTTGCTAAGATCCTTAAGAAAGGACCATTGAGTCATGCGAGCAACATTCGCCATTCATGGAACCGGCAACAGACACCCATTGGTGGAGAATACTGGGACGGATTTTCTTTGGGCTCCATGATATCTTTCAGATTTGCATTCGCCATCTAGGGTTGTCATGTGGGTAAACGGCAAAAAGACGAAGGCCACCGACATTCCCAAACATGGGGTGCACTCCCCACCCCTGTTTTTTCTTGTTGAGGACCCTCAGAAGACTTCTTATATAACAGCCCAGTTGTCCCAAAGCCGGCCTTTAATCTTTAGGTGTTCGGTCGTATGTGCATATGTTTATTGAATGCGTCGCATTGCACGCCTACATGTACGTTCACTTTAGACACACTTTATAGGTGTACATATGTGACACACACACACACATGAACACATCTGCTTCTACCAAACAAAGTTAAGTTGGAGAACTTTCTTAATACGAAAAGTTGAAACAGCAGAGTCGTGCAAAGAAAGAAGCAAGAAGTATGGAGAAGAAATACACAGAAGGAGATGGAGAAGGAAGTAATTGTGCGGCAGAAGCTACCTCTGTTCAGCGCACGGGTTCGCCAAGGGGTCGCCGCGGTCTGGGAAGTTCCCCAATGCCCTGCGCGTGCATATGCAAATCGCGCGGCTGGCGCAGCGCTTTGCCAACTTGAGGCGTATATTTTCGTGGCAGGCGCAGCGTTTTGTGCCCAATGGCCTCAGAAATTGTGACAGGCGCAGCGCTTGGGAAGCTGAGTCGGGCGGTTTGCAAATCGCACTCGAGAGGCCGCACGAGCTGCTGCGTGCCGAATCTGTGGTGGGCGCACGGTTTTTGCACCCTGAGGTGCGGATATCGTGGCAGGCGCAGCACTTTCGCAAGGTCAGGTGCAGATAGATAGATGGATAGCGAAAGAGGAAGAGAAGAGAAGACTAGAGAAAGAAAAGAGAAGAGAAGGACAAAGAGAAGAGAAGAGCAAGAGAAAGAGAAGGAAACAGAGAAAGGGAAAGAGGAAAACACTAAGAGGAAGAGAAAGAGAAAGAAAAGAGGAAGAGGAAGGGAAAAAACACAAGAAAGAGAAAGATAAAGGTAAAGATAAAGAGGAAGAGAAGAGAAAGAGAAAGAGGAAGAGAAAGAGAAAGTAGAAGAAAAACGGTAAGATAAAGAGGAAGAAACAGAGGAAGATAAGAGAAAAAAGGACACGAGATGCTCAGAGAAGAAAAGAAAAGAAGAAAAGATATGCTGCACGAAAACAATTCATCTCCTATAGGCACATTGTTGGTTAGAAGCTTCCGTCTTCCAGCTTTGCTGGGGCATACCTGGTATGTAAAGTTGGTATACAGCTGTGCACACATGTATGGGCCAATACACGTGCCTATGAATCCAAAGTGTCCATGTGTTTGTTTATTACCCAATTTGATCTAATCTAGTTCACAGCCTATTCCAAAGATATCTTGTAAAATTCCAACCTGACATACGTACATACGTTGCCACATACAGGCATGCGTGCATCGTAAGCACTTACGTATATATACGTACATGCGCAAGTATACGTTTTCACACATTGTAACGCTTCGCGTTGCCTTCATCGGCCAGTATGCTTTTGGCTGGCTTAGAGAGACTGTGTTTTGGTAGAGTCAGAGAAGCAGCTTCTCGGCGAAGCAGATGCTCATGGGCTCTGCCCCTGACCCCACAGCCAGGCACGTTTGTGTTTTTGGGGCAACTGGCCACTTCAGCCATTTTCAATTCTTTCGGCGCTTTTGGGGGAGACTTCGGGGTTGGTTGGGCGAAGGTTGTTGAAACACTTGGGCTGTGGTCAAGCTGTAGAGGAAAGCCCGGTTTAAGCAATTAGGCAACCTGTTAGTGATATCCGCCAAAAGATCCAGAACTTAAACTTGTGCGCGCGAGCCTACCCTTTAGCCAAGACCTGTCTTTCTCACACTTGGAATACATTTGGCGTCTCAAAGCGACCCCATTAGGTTGAGATGGAACCCAGCCACATGCTCGGACCACAGCTCCCGCGCCATAGCTGGTCAAGCAAGGTAGGCCAAACTTGTCCCAGGTGCAAAAATTGTATTTGCAGGGCCCTGGGTTGCTTTATTTGTGGTTTTGCCGAAAGAAATTCAGGCCAGATTCGTCCCAAGAAAAAGCGGTGCAATGTCACTCCCCCCACAAAAGAGTGTTTTCTGAGTTTGCCGAACTGATGAAGAAGGACTGCCCCTTCAGGACAAAGAACGGCACCAGCTTTGGGGCCCGTGCCTGGAAGTTTTGCAAGCGTGAGGCGAGGGTGAGAGTTGCCGAAATCTCGGGCGGCCCCCCGTTGTTTAAACATTTTCCAATTGGTTTGTTGAACTTTTCTTAAGCTCCCTTTTAGGCAGTCTGCTGCATGGGTCCGTAAATGTCTCTCGCAGGTGACGTCAGGTACGCGCTTTAAAGATGGCGCACGGATTTTGCGGCAGGCGCAGTATCTTCCGCAGCTGGGGGGTGCCAAGGTTTCGTGGCAGGCGCAGTATTTTCCGCATCTGGGTGGTGCAAACATTTCGTGGCAGGCGCAGCGTTTGCTGCATCTGTGTGTGTGGGTGCGCGCGTATGTGCGTGTGTGCGTGTGTGCGTGTGTGCGTGTGTGCGTGTGTGCGTGTGTGTGTGTGTGTGTGGGTGTGCGTGTGCATGTGCGCGTGCGCGTGCGCGTGTGCGCGTGCGCGTGTGGTTGTGCGGGTGTGTGTGTGTGTGTGTGTGCGGGTGTGCGTGTGTCCATGTGTGCGTGTGTACGTGTGTGCGTGTGTGCGCGTGTGCGTGTGTGTGTGTGTGTGTGCGTGTGTGCGAGCGCGTGTGTGCGTGTGTGCGTGTGAGTGCCCGCGTGCGTGTGTGCGTGTGTGCGTGTGTGAGTGTGTGCATGTGTGCGTGTGCGCATGTGCGCGTGTGCGAGTGTGCGCGTGTGTGTGCGTGTGCGCGTGTGCGCGTGTGCACGTGGCGCGTGTGCGTGTGTGCACATATGCGTGTGCGTGCGTTTGCGTGTGCGTGTGCGTGTGCGCGCGTGTTTCCTGTGCGTGCGTGCGTGCGTGCGTGCGTGCGTGCGTG